TCTTTGTCGGTGTCTATTATTTAGCTGGCTTCCATTTGGCCATTGCTATTCCTATTCTTTAACCTGTCAGCGCTAATTACCCCCGGCCTCCCGTTTGCCCATTGTCCATTGCTAATTACCAATCAGAGTCCCTCTTTGGGACTCTGTGTGACTTGTGCATATATATATAATTATATATATTCTCTTTTGTGAGTTTCAGTATTCAATTTGATAAATATTCTGGTTTTTTATATCTATATGAGTTCAATTTTTTTCTTTGACTGCTCTGTTTATTAAAGTTCGAGTAGCTGTCCATCTCTAAGAATAGTTTGTCTTTCGCTATTGCATCTCATGGCTTTAGGAGATCTATGACAGATAGCGGATCTAACTGTAATTCGTGTTTTAACCGAGCCAAGGCTGGGGCATGGTCTTGACATTCCAGTAACACGTGAGCAATGGATTCAGGTTGATTGCAAGATGAACAAACCTTGTCATAGTGCTTTTTGTGACTGAGTCTGAGGCGTGAGATGGCTTTGTATATCATATCATATTCATAACCATATAACAAGAAAGTCATATGTGCACAGACGTAATAGTGTCAGATGACACATCCTTTTCAAATGAGGAGACCAGTGTTTCGTAACAGAGCCAACGAAAATATTTGATGTGATTTAAACCAAACGACGTTGAAATTACTTGATGTTTACAAAACAAATTAGAAAAAAAATAAACAGGTAGTTGTATATCATCACCGATGACGTCTCTGACCCACGTCAGTGTAAACCTCCACAAATGTCTGAATGTCGGGAAACAAGCATTCATCACACAGGTGCATGAATTAAATGCAACCGCTATCCACCCGTGTTGTTTACTGTGGGGCTTGTCAACACATCCGGGTAATCAGAGAAGGGCAGGTGTAAATAACGCTGTGACGTCATCACAATAAATAAAGGTATGCGACCTGGTAACCACGTGCTGTGAGAAACCTATTCCTCGGGAAAAAGAAGGCGTGATGACCTTTGCATGTTCTGTTCTGAATACAGGTTACGGGGTCACGAGGTTAAGACTGTTGTCCCATATGACTAATCAGTTTAAGCTGGGTTTTTTTTTAAAATTTACAGAGTCATGTGTGTTGTATATTGCGTGCGCATCATCTGCAAATTAGCACGTCATAACTTTATCCCATCTTTTTACAAGGCGCGACTTGCCAATCATCTGGGCCCCGTACCACAAAGCGATCTCTGCGCTAATACGAGCCTTACTTAACACTGATTTTGATAGTCGCGTAAGGCCAGGTTCACACAGTGCCGTTTTTTAGCATGCGGAAGATACAAATCGGATCAGATTCGGATTGAGAACGGGAGAACCGTGACGAATTCGGCCGGAAACGGCAGAATATGGACGCTTCCTGAACAATATCTGTTTGTTTGTGAATTTCCGCCATGAATCTCAGGATCTTGATCAGACTTTTGACAAATTTTAATCGGGAATGGTCCTATCAAGGACGGCAGTAAAAATCCTGAATGTGTGACTGAGCCCTAAGCTAGATAAGGTCTCTTTGAAGAACGGGGTCCAGATAGCTTGAATAACTGACGAGTCTAATTGCAGTGCGTTTGTTGTTCTAAAAGGGCATATGTCTTCCGTTGTGCCAACTTTTTCAAGATTACTGAGGTTGCTATGAACAGAATTATTAAAGAACAGAATTATTAAACATTTGACCCGTGAAGATTCCGGGGTAGAATAGGTCTTCAGCAACCCATACTTGCCGTAAAAGGCGACTATGCTTGTCGTAAAAGGCGACTAACGGGATCGGGTGGTCAGGCTCGCTGACTTGGTTGATGCACGTCATCGATCCCAATTGCGTGGATCGATGCTCATGATGTCAATCACTGGATTGTCTGGTACAGGCTCGATTATTAAACAGACCGCCGTCATATAGCTGGAATATTGCTGAGTGCGGCGTTAAACAACAAACAAACATATTAAACATTTATTCTGTATTGTGGAGTTATGTCATATTTGCTAAAAATAATACATGTATTCACGTGGTGTAAAGTCAGACCAAATGAACATTACCCAAGCTGTGACATCGAAGTAGTGATCGAGTTTGTGAGTAAGTCAGCAAGTTGGGTTGGAAGACTGGATCCAGACTTTTTAAAAGGGAGGGATCCAAAATATCGAAAGCCTGTCCCAGATAATTTTAGTGCCTACAACATACTATATTTGGTTTCCATACTACACTTGGTTGTGTGTGTGTGTCTAGTGTGTGTGTGTGTGTGTGTGTGTGTGTGTGTGGGGGGGGGGGGGGGGGGGGGGGGGTCTGTGTGTGTCTAGTCTGTGTGTGTCTGTGTGTGTGTATGTGTGTCTATGTGTGTGTCTAGTGTGTGTGTGTGTCTATGTGTGTCTAGTGTGTGTGTCTGTGTGTCTGTGTGTCTAGTGTGTGTCTGTGTGTGTCTAGTGTGTGTGTGTCTAGTGTGTGTGTGTCTGTGTGTGTCTAATGTGTGTGTCTGTGTGTGTGTCTAGTGTGTGTGTGTGTCTAGTGTGTGTCTGGGTCTGTGTGTGTCTAGTCTGGGTGTGTCTTGTGTGTGTGTCTGTGTGTCTAGTGTGTGTGTGTCTGTGTCTAGTGTGTGTGTGTCTGTGTGTGTATGTGTGTCTAGTGTGTGTGTGTGTGTGTCTAGTGTCTGTGTGTGTCTAGTGTGTGTGTGTGTGTCTGTGTGTGTATGTGTGTCTAGTGTGTGTGTGTGTGTATGTGTGTCTAGTGTGTGTGTGTGTGTGTATGTGTGTCTAGTGTCTGTGTGTGTCTAGTGTATGTGTGCGTCTGTGTGTGTATGTGTGTCTAGTGTGTGTGTGTGTCTAGTGTGTGTGTGTCTGTGTGTGTGTGTCTGTGTGTGTATGTGTCTAGTGTGTGTCTGTGTGTGTCTAGTGTATGTCTAGTGTGTGTGTGTGTCTAGTGTGTGTGTGTGTCTCTGTGTGTGTATGTGTGTCTAGTGTGTGTGTGTCTAGTGTGTGTGTGTGTCTAGTGTGTCTCTGTGTGTCTAGTGTGTGTGTGTCTAGTGTGTGTGTGTCTCTGTGTGTGTATGTGTGTCTAGTGTGTGTGTGTCTAGTGTGTATGTGTGTCTAGTGTGTGTGTGTGTCTAGTGTGTGTGTCTCTGTGTATGTGTGTCTAGTGTGTGTGTGTGTGTGTCTAGTGTGTATGTGTGTCTAGTGTGTGTGTGTGTCTAGTGTGTGTGTCTCTGTGTATGTGTGTCTAGTGTGTGTGTGTCTAGTGTGTGTATGTGTGTCTAGTGTGTGTGTGTCTAGTGTGTATGTGTGTCTAGTGTGTGTGTGTGTCTAGTGTGTGTGTCTCTGTGTGTGTATGTGTGTCTAGTGTGTGTGTGTGTGTGTCTAGTGTGTGTGTGTCTAGTGTATGTGTGTCTAGTGTGTGTGTGTGTCTCTGTGTCTAGTGTGTGTGTGTCTAGTGTGTGTGTGTGTCTAGTGTATGTGTGTCTAGTGTGTGTGTGTGTATGTGTGTCTAGTGTGTGTGTGTCTAGTGTGTATGTGTGTCTCTGTGTGTGTGTGTCTAGTGTGTATGTGTGTCTCTGTGTGTGTATGTGTGTGTGTGTCTAGTGTGTGTGTGTCTCTGTGTGTGTATGTGTGTCTAGTGTGTGTGTGTATGTGTGTCTCTGTGTGTATGTGTGTCTAGCGTGTGTGTGTCTAGTGTGTATGTGTGTCTCTGTGTGTGTGTGTCTAGTGTATATGTGTGTCTCTGTGTGTATGTGTGTCTAGTGTGTATGTGTGTCTAGTGTGTGTGTCTAGTGTGTATGTGTGTCTAGTGTGTGTGTGTGTCTAGTGTGTATGTGTGTCTAGTGTGTGTGTGTGTCTAGTGTGTATGTGTGTCTAGTGTGTGTGTGTCTAGTGTGTATGTGTGTCTCTGTGTGTGTATGTGTGTCTAGTGTGTGTGTGTCTAGTGTGTATGTGTGTCTAGTGTGTGTGTGTGTCTAGTGTGTATGTGTGTCTAGTGTGTGTGTGTCTAGTGTGTATGTGTGTCTCTGTGTGTGTATGTGTGTCTAGTGTGTGTGTGTGTCTAGTGTGCATGTGTGTCTAGTGTGTGTGTGTCTAGTGTGTATGTGTGTCTCTGTGTGTGTATGTGTGTCTAGTGTGTGTGTGTCTAGTGTGTATGTGTGTCTAGTGTGTGTGTGTCTAGTGTGTCTCTGTGTGTCTAGTGTGTGTGTGTCTAGTGTGTATGTGTGTCTCTGTGTGTGTATGTGTGTCTCTGTGTGTGTGTGTCTAGTGTGTATGTGTGTCTAGTGTGTATGTGTGTCTAGTGTGTGTGTGTCTAGTTCGTATGTGTGTCTAGTGTGTGTGTGTGTCTAGTGTGTATGTGTCTAGTGTGTATGTGTGTCTAGAGTGTTTGTGTCTAGTGTGCATGTGTGTCTAGTGTGTGTGTGTCTAGTGTGCATGTGTGTCTAGTGTGTGTGTGTCTAGTGTGTATGTGTGTCTCTGTGTGTGTATGTGTGTCTAGTGTGTATGTGTGTGTGTCTAGTGTGTATGTGTGTCTAGTGTGTGTGTGTCTAGTGTGTATGTGTGTCTAGTGTGTGTGTGTGTCTAGTGTGTATGTGTGTCTAGTGTGTGTGTGTCTAGTGTGTATGTGTGTCTAGTGTGTGTGTGTCTAGTGTGTATGTGTGTCTAGTGTGTGTATGTGTGTCTAGTGTGTGTGTGTGTCTAGTGTGTGTGTGTCTAGTGTGTGTGTGTGTGTCTCTGTGTGTGTGTGTGTGTTGGGGGGAAGGGGGTGTGACACACTTAGCTTTTTATGTGCATTATGTGCTTTGAACGATTTATCTAATTCATCTAGGCTTGCTCAAATAATTAAAACATTATGAAGTATTTGAATATTGTAAAGCTCACGCGCTACTCGACAACGGTCTTAAATGGTTTATGATTTTATGTTTCGCAACGCTTCGTATAATAAACGATACACAAGACGTGTATTTTTATGGTCTAAGGGCAGGTAACTCTAATCTACTGTCGTGGCGCTGGGGTTTGTTTTGATCGACCATTGTTCGTGATTGTAGTTTCGGTTTTGAGTTTTGAAATGGTGGAAAATGTCTGACGGGTCAAAACATGCTACATAGACGTCAGAGTTTGACATTTTGATTAGTCTTCTTCTTGTTCAGGTAAATTACATCGCAATGTTTCCATGACAATGCATATGTTTTGCAAGGAAAGCAAAACACCGCAAACAATCTCGAGTTTAACATGTCTAAGACTTTCGTTTTTCCAACTTACCACATTACGTACGATTGTGATTCTATCTAGATCAGCGTTTCATGCATCAAAGAGAAAATGACGCCTCGACACATACTAAATAGAACACTCCTGCCATAAATCTGCACTGTATTGAATCAAATTATCGAACAAACACTGTGTTGGAGGCTACATGTTGTTTAGAATAATATAAGATAGCCTATATCTATTTACGTATTATGTCAACTTGGGAATTAAAGCCGACATTGGAATTTAGCCATTGGTTGTACTCAGACTATTATTGATTGGCCTTTACCCGTGCTCTCAGTGATATTGGTACCACGTATGTACATTGCAGTATCAGAGGGTGTCAAACCTCCTTCCTGAATACCATTTAATTTTTCGCTGTGATTCTCATTGCTCACCTCTAAATCCTGATTATAAACCCCAAAACCATGCATTGTGAAAAGGGTGTCATTTGAAGTTAGAAAAGTTGAAGTTAATAAAATCATACAGTGAAGGATATATATATATATTTTAAATGTGCATGCCAAATAGAATTTTATTTGCATCCCACAAAGTCTGCTGGGTCCCGTATACCCTCTAAATATATACTATACTATACTACTGTATTTCCTCTATTAGGCGCCGGGCCTCTAATAGAAGCCGGGTCAATTGTTCAGTGCAAAAAATAGAAGCCGGGCCCCTAATAGAGCATTTGAAATTTTGTAAAAATGTCGTAAAATTGAGTTGTGCAATTACATCTGCAATTACAATTAAAATAGGGCTACAAATAGAAAAATAGGCTCCACGACATTGGCTATTTAGAAATGAGATTGAACAGCAACATATTCATTTTGGCTCTCCAAAACCAATGACTCATGTCACTTAATGTAATGGTGAGGTTATGTGAAATGGGATTTGAAGTTGTTTCCAAGATTATTGCACTTATAAAGTGATGTGCATACACGTGTGTATGTGTAGCTGCTTGTACTATTCAAGACTGATTTATAGTGCTAGCACACTGAGATACCATGCCGCAGTTTAACATGAATACCCCACTCAAACACAGTATACCAACTCCGAGCCGACCAGTCCTTGTTTTAGCCCCTTAATGCCGAGCGCCAGACAGGGTAACAACAAGTACCATCTTTTACCGTCTTCTGGTATGATGCGGCGGGGATCGAACCCCGGACCTTCCGCTCTCCGGGCGGACGCTCTACCACTAGACCACAGAGGCGGTCCCTGGTTGGAGGATTTCCAGCTTGATGTGAGGATGGTGGGATAGCCTTGTGGTTAAAGCGTTCGTTCGTCACTCCGAAGACCCAGGTTTGATTCCCGACATGGGTACAATGTGTGAAGCCCACTTTTGGTGTCTCCCGCCGTGATAGTGCCGGAATATTGCTAAAACTAAAAGCAGCGTAAAACCATACTCACTCCTCCTAGTTGATGTGATATACCGTATTCATCGTAATAAGCACCCCGCTCTAATAAGCGTCCACAGCGATATTTGCTAATATATTGGCTAATGAACAATCCCAATTAGCACCCCTTCCAATTGATCAATGTACACAAGACTTATTTATTGGCGTATTATACGCACTCGTGTGTTATATGCACCCTTTATTATGGACAATTAAATTCTGGAAAAATATATATGTTGTATATGAACATTTCAGGCTGTCAGCATAAACCAGGAAATTTATCTTTCAACTGTTTTTTTTACCAAAATAATATTTAAGTATGAGCCCTATATTTCTAATTTTGAGAGCGCCCTGGGCGCTAATTACGTCGAATACGGTAGCTCTTATATCCTTGCCTAATCCTTATGTGATGTTTGTGGACTTAATTTGGAATGATCTGATTTATAATGTTGCAAATATTCAATGAATCAAGTGACCTTAGAAGTTGTGCAAGAATGCTTGATGATGACATGTGTCATGATGTATGGCAGTACATGACAGGTACAACCATCATGTTCGGGTTACTGTAACTGATACAGACCACCTTCGTGGTCCAGTGGTAGAGTGTCTGCCCACTGAGTGGAAGGTCTGGTGTTCGATCCCTGGCTGCGTCATACCAAAAGACGTTAAAAGACGGTACTTGTTGTTTCCCTGCCTGGTGCTCCGCATTAAGGGGATAAAACATGGACTGGTCAGCTCGGACTCAATATTCTGTGTATGAGTGGGGTATTCACGTTAAACGGTGGCATGGTAGCTCAGTGTGCTAGCACTTTGAAATCGGCATCAGTCCAGACTAGTACAAGCAGCCACGCACACGTGCCTGCACGTCGCTTTATAAGTGCAATATTCTTGGCCATGAAGTAAAACCCCACCTCACTTCACCTTACCTGAAACTGATATTTCAGCTCGAATCCCAGTTCGCCCTGATAATGTTTTTAGGTTTGTCAGCACCATACCCGTGCTCGTGGGTTTCACCGAAGTGGTAAACGTCTGAGACCTGCATCACTTCGAACTTTCCTCCAACATTAAACTGACACTCCGTGATATGACTGGAATACTGTTAAAAGCGGCATTAAACCCAACTCACTCACTTACTCTAATGTTGCTCCAGATACATTACATGTACAACAGAACCTTAAATTTTTTTTAGCTCACCTGATTTAAAGTCAAGTGAGCTCATACCATGGCTTGTTTGGCTGTTGTGCATTGTCCTTCGTAAAGATGTTCCTCTAAGACATTTCCGAGACCACTGAACCAACTCCACATACATTCCTTGAGGCAATACAGAGACCATAAAATAGAGGGACTGACCTCTAGCCAATGCGCGAAACAATCAGCGCTACGGCTTGTACTCTATTTTAAGGTTTCTGGCAGGTATTTATGTACAAAATATTTGAATATTAATGCTGACAGCAAATTTCGTAAAGTCACGGTCTTTCTTTACATGTTAAACTGTATATACTGTATAAACTGTGTCTTGACTCTGTATCCAGGTGAGCTACAGTGCTGTAGCTCTTTATTTAAGCCTTCTCTATTTACTTTCATTCTTTGTTACCTTCTGCAGAATGGAAGGGATCCGACTGTCAGGGATTCAGTCTGGTGTGTCCGAGAAACACATCAGAGCGTTTTGTGAGCAGCATCTCCTGAATGTCCAGACGATCTACTACCCACTACTCAATAATGATGCTGTCATTATCTTCTCTGACTCAGAAAGTAAGTCATTACTTTAATCACAGATCTGTGAAGATCCGGGGTAAAATAGGTCTTCAGCAACCCATGCTTGCTGAAAATTTGACTATTCTTGTCATAAGAGGCGACTAACGGGATCGGGTGCTCAGGCTTGCTGACTTGGTTGATGGATGTCATCATATTCCAGTTTTGTGGATTGATGCTCATGATGTCAATGACTGGATTGTCTGGTTTGTTTGTTTGTTTGTTATCTAACGCCGCACTCAGCAATATTAAAGCAAATAATCGAGTCTGGACCAAACAATCCAGTGACTGATATGATGACCATTGATCCACACAATTGGGATCGATGACACACATGAACCAAGTCAGCGAGCCTGACCACCCGATCCCATTAATCGCCTCTTACGCCAAGCTTACCTTTTATGGCAAGCATGGGTTGCTGAAGGCCTATTCTCTCCCGGATCTTCACAGGTCCACACACGATTATTTACAGACCTCTGTCATATAGCTGAAATATTGCTGAGTGCGGCTTTAACCAACGAAGAAAGAAACCAACAAACTTTGATCAGTTATTGAAAAGAAATTACTCTCACAGTTTCTGTTGGGGTCATAAGAGATAAATATGCAAATAAAAGAGGTCAGATAGGTACTACTTTCTGTACTTACATCATAGCTATCAATTCAGATTTGACCAACAAGATTCTGGAAAAATTGCTGGCATAATTGTTATTATCAAAATCGTCAGCAGACGTACTACAGATATGTACCCTAGATATGTACCCTAGATACATTTCTCTATACAGAAAGGTACCCTAGGATGATTCCATTCCGCCGCAGGCCGTATTGTGCAATGGGCTGAACCGGTTCATTTAACATATACGACGCGCCATGGATGCCAAATCGCTGTAAAATTCAACATGGCAGTATGCGTTCGAAACTGCGAGTACGAACAGAACTGTCATACTGTTGTATGAGATGCATTCAAATGTGCTATATAAAAGCGAGCAAACATATTGAAGTACGTACATTACTGTAATATTCCACATGCATTGCATTCTCCAACACTTCGCATCAGGCAAACCACTACAACATGAACCGGTTTCGGTTTCGGGCTGAGGAATATAGTCTCGTCCGTCCTTTTGGGTACCGGGTACCTTGATGTATTCTGATTTTGGCTAGGGTACATTTCTGTGTATAGAAACATACCAGGGGTACATATCTGGTAACAACAACCCCTTCAGCGACAGTAGGGGTATCATTTTCTATGCGTGTGTTTGTAGACCTTTTTGGTTCCTGGTCTTTTTTCCAATTCAAAACAGTAAGGTTTGCTGAAATAAGTCCAAAAATTTACTTTGTTTCCTTTTCTTGCTGTCAGGGACATCTGACTGTATTTTATAACGTGATGACAGTGCAATAATGACCTGATGGACGCTGATCCAAAGTGACGTCTCATAGACTAGAGTAGCCTCCCTTTGATAAGGGGAAGTTACTCTAATGGGTGAACCTATGAATTGGATGAAAGACGATCACAGTGTTTCGTGCTTTAAAGAAATTACCTTGAAATATTATTTGTTTGTTGTTATCTTTTTGCCTATAGTAGTAGTTATTCCTCTATCTTAAATCAAGTTACTATTTTGACTTGTCGCTGTCCAATTGACTGATAACTGACCATGGGCAATATATATCAATGCATACGTTCTAGAAAATCTTGTAATGTTAAGGTACCATTTGTGAGAGTTGAGAATACTTTTTTCGATGAAAAAAGTTTAGACTGACATACTACGATAAAGAGGGTATCACACTTGTGTATTTTGGAATAGTTTATATCCTGTATGAGGAATAAACACATCTCCAAGGCTTGCTGTATACAATGTTTATTCCTAAGCTACAGGGTATATGGTATGATATTGTGGTCAGTGGGCTAATCTGTTTTTCAGACGCGAGACAATAAATGAAAAACATTAATTCAAATCGAATCTAGAATAAAATGGCAGGTCTATATTGCCTCAGCTCTAGGGAATTAAGCTTTGCTCTGGGCTCCATTTGGATTTTATTTTTTATTTTGCCCATACAAATTTTAAGTTTTAAATTTTCTGTGACTAATTGTTAGACTATATGTGGACATACGCTCATGGTATAACATTCTGGTCACATGGCAATCTCATTAAAATCAGATCTTAGTTCTCGCTTCCGCTAAACAAAGATCTGAGGACATCCCATTATGGGTCACGTCAGAACGACCTTTCGCGAATTTTGACCGACCAATGAAATGACTGTCAAGAAATCGTCATTGGCCAATCAGAAGGCAGCTTTCTCGAGCTTTACGACACTAGTTTCAAACTGGTGACTACGCTTCGAAACATATTTTGACGTATTCTCGATTAAAAATGTTAAAACTTATAAGAAGAACATCCTGGAATGGCTTATAGAAGGCATAGATTGTATGGATATAATCATAAAACCTGTAACTGTCGTTCGGAATACCCCGTGTTAAATATATCATGGTTGCATGATTAGAAAACACATTCCGACTGTCACTTTCATGATCTGGTAATCGACGCTCTGATTGGTTGGATGAAAGGTCATTCTGATGTGACGGGATGTCCTCAGATATTTGTTTAGCGATAGCAAGAACTAAGATCTGATTTTAATGAGATTGTGCCAATACAAATTTTAAAAAAGAAAACATTTTTGTGACTAATTTTTAGACTACATGTGGACATACGCTCATGAGCTGTTTTATTAAGATATTAATTTAAGAGAGGGGCACGGGTGGCCCAGTTGTCTAAGGCGCCGCGATTCGCTGTGCAGAGTTGTGTCCCTTGGGCAGCCAGAAACCTATGATTGTGGGTTCGAATCCCGGTTCGCCCCGATTATGTTTCTAGGTTTTGTCAGCACCATACCCGTGCTCGTGGGTTTCACCGAAGTGGTAAACGACCTGCATCACTTTGGGCTTTCCTCCCACATTAAGCTGACACGCCGTGATATAACTAGAATAATGTTAAAAGCGTCGTTAAACCCAACTCACTCACTCACTCACTAAGATATTAAGTTATTAACACGGCTGATGGATTTAATCAGAATACAAGAAGTGTATTTCCATCTGTTCGTGTTGCTTACACTGAAATGGGGCCGTCAGTGCATTGTGTTTCTCAAGGATACAAATCCTGAAGTGCTGACAGTTTGTTTTCACCTCTACAGGCACATCAATGGCGCTCTTTGAAAAGCTGAAAGGACTATCAAAGTTTACAATCAATCCTCTCCCTCACAGGGTAAGTCTTGAGTGATAGAAGAGAGAATATGGGTTAAAAGAGGGACTCCGGTCTACTGTTCGATGCAGAGTCCCAGTCTAGATCTAAATCTTCAGTTGTTGTGACTCAGACTCTATGAAGATTCCAAGAAGACGTGTGTACAGCTGATTGCTGTTTCCGACTAAGTTTACGAGAAAATACACAAAGTAGTCTAAATCCCTGCATGTAAAACAATGCCTAGCAGAACAAAAAATACAATTTGAACGGTAAATCAACATGTCTGGTGATTTTTTATCCCAAATTTTAAATTTGTACTGACCAAGTTTCTTATCACACGTTTTTTTACCGGTATTCGCTGAAGGGGTGCGGTGTTATTTTTTGTGTGCATAATATTCAAAAAAAAATTCTCCAAAATACTGAATCCGCTAGAGGGTCGTGCGCACTATACTCGTGAAAATATGGTATATTTTGAAAAACGGGGATCCAAAGCCATCCACTAGCACACGATTGAATTTTGTTGTAAAATGTTTTTATCCATCTTCTTATTGGCTTTTCAAAACCAAAAGAGTGTTTCGTCTGTGAATTCCCAATCAACTGTATTGAATGCCTTTTCAAAATCTACAAGTAATAATAGACCTGGTATCTGATAGGTATCGGTGTAGTCCAATATATAGATCATAGATTTGTCTTGTTATTTCACCAATGTATCTTCCAGCCATGAGTCATTTTTGTTCCTCGTTGACCTGGAGGTTTAACACAGATTTTACCCTTTGTGATATTGCTATTGATACGATTTTATTGGTCGCCAGTTTTTCAAATGCTGTTTTGGTTTATTTCCTTTTGGGATAACGTTATTAGTTCTTTTCTTTGTGATATTAATAATTGTCCATTATTGTAAGTATCATTTAAGGATTTTATTAGATATTTCCCAAGGTAATTACAGGAAAGTTTGATTAATTCCGCTGTATATCCATCTGGCCCTTCATGTACCTCACTGTAGGTCAACTCACCTTCCAACCTCCGGGCTATTTCATGAGATAGTTCAGGAATATCATATTCTTTTAGTACCAACATAAGGTCTATTTTTGAAATATCATGCTTTGAGTACAGTTTTGAATAATAAACTTTTACTGCTGTAGTATTTCATCTTTTCATTGAATATCATGATCTCTGCCAGAATTTCCTCTTTCATCATTTGCTCCAGGGATTCATCTAGTTGTTTAGACAGGAGAGTTAACGTTTCTTGAGTTTTTCTTTCTGTAGGATGAATATTGTATTGTCTTACCTCTCATCGTAAGAAGCAATGTTTCCCAGTAAAGTTGATTGTCTATATTAGATTTGGTTTCTATGTTATTATCTTCATTTTTATACTGCTGCTTTGTTTCTTCAATGGTAGTAACGAGTGTTACATAAGTTGCCTCTTTTAAACGAGAATTATCGAACTTCCAATAACCCTTGCCCCTTTTTAGATCTGTAAGTTCAAAAGGTCAATGATATTGGTGAGTGGTCCGATCTGAAACTAGGCTCTATTTCCATTTTCATAATTTAAGGCAACATAGTATAGGAAATTTAGAATTTGTCCATACGTTGTGTTTCAAAGGGGTTGGTTGTCTCCATGTATATCTTTTGCTGAAGGGGATATGTTCACGCCATACATCTGGCTTGCCTCTTCTTGGGCCGGGGTGGCAGGTCCGTCTGGATACTTGCCCCCTACCCTGGAGAAGTTGTCTTGCATCATGTACCGCTTCTTGATCGGGCAAATAGACAAAGGTGGTAATTATGCTACGAATGGATTTTGTACGTTTTTTCCCCTGATATTCTGAGATTGGTAGCCTGTGGACTATCTTGAGGAACATATCAACTAGACTACTCTCGCATTGTCAAACTTGTGAGTGTCAATGAGGAAGTTCCCGAGAAACCGCTCCGTATTTCTCTGAGGATATTCGGATTTTCATTACAGGAGATTTGTTTTCCTATCATACATATCTTTAAGGAGGAATTGTTCATCACGTAATTTCGTGATATCCTCCTCATGTTGAGACACGTTATGATCAATTGTGGTGACCTGCTGTTTTATCTCCGATATTTCTGATTTCACTGGTTCTATTGAGTCTTGTATCTCAGCTTTTACCGAACTAATAAGTTCGGACAGACGTTTCTCTGACGCTTGAATAATATCCTCAGTGCTTGTGGCTGCCGCGCGGGTTTTTGTGAGTTAGACATGGCTGATTTGAGAGTGACACTAAGTTTGTAAATATTGGAAATATTGTCAAATGTATTTCAGAATATATCAACTGACCCATCTTCTGTATGATTTAGGTGTTTTTAATTGTTAAGGATTTGTAAGGATTTTGTTGATTTATCCGTGGGTTGGCGAGAGCCTTCAAACACACGTCATTGTCCTGCCATGAGCAACCAGAAGTTTATGAAGGAATGTGTTGGTGAAACATATATATTACAAATAAAAATTATAATAAATAAAATACCAATATTTGTAACCAATAAAATCAAACATAAACAGTACAAAATGCAGGAAATGGTCTTTAAGAGCATCTAATTTTACAAAATTTCTGGGCGGGCATTCCACCAACCCCCCCTAGCAAGCCCTCATAAAATTGCGGTTGCTTACACTTATAATTGGCCTAGTTGTGCCTCTGGTATGACCAATCGTCTGAACTACCTCAATCAGCTGAACAGGGTTGTGGCCGTCAGGAACACCAGAAACCTATGGTGGCTGGTTCAAAGCATACACATGCTCTGGGGTTTTACTAAAGTGGTAAACATCTAGAACCTGCTTCACCTTGCCTGGCCCCTCATGGAGCGGACACATCGTGATGTAACTGAAATATTATTCCAAGTGGTGTTAAACCAAATTCACTCACTCACTCACTGTTGAGGGGGATCATGGGGCTCTATACTGTGGAGTATTAACTCACTTGTTATCCTTCATATTGATATTGACCGTAAAGATCCGGGGTAGAATAGGTCTTCAGCAACCCATGCTTGCCATAATGGACGACTATGATTGTCGTAAGGGGCGACTAACGGGATCGGAGATCAGGCTCGCTGACTTGGTTGATGCATGTCATCGTATTCCAACTGCGTGGATCAATGCACATGATGTCAATCACGGGATTGCCTGGTCCAGACTCGATTATTTATAGACCGCTGTCATAAAGCTGGAATATTGCTTAGTGCTGCGTTAAACAACAATCAATCATATTGGTATTGACAGTTTGAGTATTCATTTTTTTCTTCCCATTGGGTCCGGATACATGATGCTACTAATTTTTTAACAGAAATTAATTTAAGTGATAAATTTTTATAAAATAATGTATCATAGAACACTTGTCAGTTTTAATTGTTTGGATGGTGAAATTCCTGCTGTAGTACCATGGATGTAGCAGAGGTAGTTTGAAATACAAATCTGTGATATTCTAGTTGTTTTACTGTACAATGTAACTCCTAATATATAAATTGTTCTCATCGTCACAATATGGCTGAAATATTGACGATGTGACATTAAATATTACCTCACTCACTCACTGAAAAAAATATCTAGTCTCCATACAAATTTCCAGCCCTCCCCCTCAGAATTATCAAATGGTTGGTCCCTTAGGACTTGGTACTTCTGAAGCATATGTGAATCATCACATTATTAATCACATGTCTAACCTGCTTTCAGATATTCTCCTCAGTAACAGTGGAGCTTGAAGAACAAGTTGCAGCTCTGTTGCAGACTTCAGAATGTAGAAAGCGTTTTGAAGTGAACACTCGTGGAAGACTACAAACACTCACTGATGCGCACGGGAGTGTGACACTGAAGGGGAACCAGTTTGATATCGAACTTGCACAGAAAGTTCTTCATGAGTCTCTTGAAAGCCAGCACAAAATACACCAAGACTTTCAAAATGGTCATGACCAATCAGCAGCTGATCATGATGCCCTGCATCAGTTCAGGAGTAGAAGAACATCCCCTGGCATGCAGCAGAGCCCTACACAGGCAAAGAGAACCACAGCGGACAGAATAGGTTCCAGTTCCTCTGGGACATACAGAAAATCTCCAAGAGAAGATGACACTGCGCATTTGTCAAATGGATTAGATTTCGGACCTGAGGCTGGTGATTTGCGTAGCAGTACAAATTCCAGGCATCAGGATGCATCAGACACTTTCAACCACTTTGCCAGTCTTCCGTCTCAGACACCAGGGAGAGATCAGGCAGAGTCATCCTTAGCTGCTGACAGAGACGAGCGTTCCAGGCCTGGAGGTGATTCTGGAATCCCAAAGTCTTTACAACTTGAGGAACAGCAGCACATGCGGGACAGAAATCGAGAGGAGCAATCTATCGGCAGTACATTTGCAAGTAATGCATCTATGCTAAGAGATCTTGATAGCGCTCCAAAGGAAGATCTGGCCCACATCAAGAAATGGGTTGATGAAACAAGAATGGGGTCTGTGGGCAGGGACAAGGAAGGTTCTGATAGCACTGATGAGTTGTTGAGAGAGGGCAGAAGCGGACACCAAACGTCTCCTCCATCTGGTGCTTCTAATGGTCTGAGTTCAGATGTTAAAGAAGTGGATCTTCTGAGGCATGATTCAACAAGATTGGCACAAAAAGTCCCTCAAGACCTGTCGTCTTACAGATTTAAACTTCCAAGTGGTATTAAGGTTCAAGTTTCCTATGGTAATATTGTGAAATGTAAGCTTGAAGGAATAGTCAGTGCAGCTAATGGAGAACTCCGGAACTTCGCTGGTGTAGCTGGGGCTATAGAGCGAGCTTGTGGGAATGAATTAAGACGTGAGTGTGAGAGGTACGTGCGCCATCATGGGCCCCTCCAGGTCAGTGAAGTGATGGATACAAGCCCGGGTGACTTGATTGGTCCACGCTACATTCTACATACAGTGGGGCCAGTCCATGTTCCAACATTTGAAGAAAAATGTGCATATCAGCTGACACGAACATTTCTTTGTTGTCTGAACCATGCTCATAAGAAGCTGTTCCTCCAATCCATTGCATTTCCCTTCATAAGTACAGGTAAGAAAGAGGTGTTATCTTTCTCTTGTCTTCCTTACTCCTTTAGACCGCCTCCGTGGTCTTGTGGTAGAGCGTCCGCCCGGAGAGCGGAAGGTCCGGGGTTCGATCCCCGGCCGCGTCATACCAAAGACGTTAAAAGATGGTACTTATTGTTACCCTGTCTGGCGCTGGGCATTAAGGGGCTAAAACAAGGACTGGTCGGCTTTGAGTCAGTATACTGTGTCTGAGTGGGGTATTCATGTTAAACTGTGGCATGGTATCTCAGCGGGCTAGCACTATAAATCGGCATCATTCCAGACTAGTACAAGCAGCCACACACACACACACACATGTGCGTGCAGGGCGCTATATAAGTGCAATAATCTTGGACGCAACCCAATTTCACCTCACCTCCTTACTCCTTTTGAATGTCACAATGTCCTGTTTTCTCCTGTCAAATACTGTGCTGATATCAAATAGCAGTCTGTAATGTCTTGCATTCTATCAAATTTGGTATGGATCTGTGTTCTGTCAAAGAGCAGACTATATGATCTTGCTTTCTTGTGTCAGCTGCCTGGATTGTCCTGCCTCTTCCTGTCAAAGAGCTGACTGAATTGCCTTGTACCCCCCTGTTTTACTGTTTAATATCATCATGGGCTGTCAAATATTGTGCTGGTTTTGCTTGTACAAGGGCTGACTTTATTGCCTTCCTTTCTCCTGTTTGATATCATCATATCCTGCTTTCCCCTGTCAAATATTGCATTATCCTGCTTTTTCCTGTCAGAGAGGCAACTCATTCGTCCTGCATTCTCTTGCCAAAGTTCAGCTTGTATTGTTATTCATGTTAACTCAATCATTCATTGTTCTCCATATACCACATGGTTTTCTGGTTTCTCTTCTTCATGATGTCTTTCCTCTGTTGACAGGTGTGTTTGGTGTCCCTATTGACATCTGCATTCAGTCTTTCCTGGATGCTGTCGTGTTGTTTTCCTCTGCACACCAGACATACTCCATCCTGAGGGAGATCCATCTGCTGAACACCGACATGGAGATGGTGCAGACGGCCATTGTCATGCTTCAGCAACACCTGGAGAGGGATTTGAGTGACCTAGAGGCTGCCGCCACATACAGGCTGCAGAACAAGGGCAAGCAGTCTGTTCTCCATGAGAGGTATTGAATTATTGCTCACAGAATGGTTATTATCTCCCGCCACGAAGTTGGGTGGGGGATATTGGAACAGAGTTTGTTTTAGCTTTCCGTCTGTCCAGTTCTCAATGGGGAAAAGACCCGTAAAGATCCGGGCTAGAATAGATCTTCAGCAACCCACGCTTGCTGTAAAAGGCGACTATGCTTGTCGTAAGAGGCGACTAACGGGATCGGGTGGTCAGGATCGCTGACTTGGTTGATGCATGTCATCGTATCCCAATTGCGTTGATCGATGCTAATGATATTAATCACTGGATTGTCTGGTCCAGATTTGATTATTTATACAGACCGCCGTCATATAGCTGGAATATTGTTGAGTGAGGCTTTAAACAACAAAGAAATCAACCAACCAATCAAGGGGACAAATTTTCTCAAAAACTATTTATCAGAGAAATGAAATTTTAGACACTGATGTTACTGGTCATGATCTCCAATGAGTTCGAAAATTGGGTTTGTAAATTCAAATTTTACAGAGTTATGGCCCATCAGAGGTATGGCCCAAAATTTTAATGTGCCTCATAGCGGGGCATAGTGATAATGTTGTTTTCTTGTTGATGAAGGATAAAAAAATTATTTCCCTAAAGATCCAACTAGAGAAATGTATGGTGTGTAATCGTTATCAGACCACCGGTATTTTATATCATTCTGTCTGGATTCTGTATCAGATAGTTAATGCATGGAAGACAAAGCAACTGTGGTTTAAGTTTGATTATTTACCAAATAATAAAAAGTCTCTTTTAAATTTGTCTTATTAATCCATCAATGACATCTTTTGTTGATAGGGCATCAAGAACAGACAGTAGGGATGTAGTCGGTAGCAGTGTGAAACGATCATCTTCACTTACCAGAAACTCACGACAGAGGAGCTCAGTGGAGGAGGAGGACCTTTTGAGCACGTCCAGCTACGGAGGAACAAAGAGTCTGAGAGGGGAGGACATGGGTACAAGATCTAGAGCAGAACAGCCAGGCATTCAACACAGGCAAAGGTCAGGATCACTTGATGTGACTCAAAGGAATAAATCCATAACAGGAACAAGACCCAAGACCACATCATCTGCAGGAGGTACGGCCTCAGGGAAGAAGCCTGGTGCAGGAACTTCCAAATCTGACTATGGTGGAAGGACTTTGCCCAACTTTAAACAAGGCATGGGGGCAACACTGGATGTAAGACTGAAATCACGAACTGGGACCACTTCTGGTGGAAGCAGCAGTCCAAGAAACAAACCCATGAAAGCTGGTACCACAGGGATGGGAAAGGATGTGGAAGTCAGAGGGAAGAGTATTGTTGATCGTGAAATCTTCAGACAAGGACATTATGGTGATGATGATAATAAGTTCCAGAGCTTGCCAACAAATTTTGGCCGAACAGGAACTCTTGGAGCTGCCAAGGCAACAGATCCGGATGACACATGCTGCATCTGTATGGACACAATCACTGTCCCCAAGAAACTGGAATGTAGCCACACCTTCTGTACAGACTGTATCAGACAGGCATTCAAGGTGAAGCCAGCCTGTCCTGAATGTGGGAAGCTGTATGGTATTGTGAAGGGGAACCAGCCCAAAGGTGGGAAGATGGCTCATAAAATACACCACGATACCCTTCCAGGATATGAAGATGCTAGAGGAGTGATTGCCATCACTTATGACTTTCCAGGAGGGGTACAACAGGTAGGTCTGGTGTTCAGAAAACTCAGGCATTTTTATACTGAAATACACCCTGTAAAGGGCAGCTGTTTAATGTGTTTGCTAGAATCTATGTTCCGCTGTCGTTGCCTTCGCCACTGCAATTGGTTATCTCAGCCACTAAGTTATGAGTGGGTGAGGTTTTATGCTGCTTTTAGCAATATTCCAGCAATATCACGGCAGGGGACACCAGAAATGGGCTTCACACTTTGTACCCATGTCGGGAATCAAACCTGGGTCTTCGGCATGACGAGCGAACGTTTTAACCGCTGGGCTACCCGTCCGTCCCCACTAAGCTATGACACATGTGAGAGACTTCATGCCTGTGTACCCCTTGGATAATGTTTTGACATATGATAGGGTGAAAAGGTCAAGGTCACACAGTATTTATGATTGAAATTTGACACAACTTAGTATACACAATGTCATAATGGAATTTGACAAAACTTTAGATTAATTATCAGGGCTCGAAGTTGCGAGTGATTTGGTCGCATTTGCGAGTGAAGTTTGAGAAATGCAACGGAATATTTTAAAACACTTATCCCTTGGTGATTACGGAAAAATCATGAATTTGACTCTTTCAACACCATAGGCCGGTACACCGACCAAGAAGCCTCGAATCCCCAGACCTGCAAGCCGTAATCACCTCAAAATAGTATATTATTTTATGAACCAACCTGTCATATCATTCATTTTTTAAATCTCTCACATTTCACAGTGTATGAAATACGTACTCCATTTCATTTTATCATTTTTTATCGCTAAATTAAAAAAAAATATTCACCATTTCCTGCAGTGTTATTGAAAATAACCGGTCCACATCAGGCACGTCAAAGAGCAAATCTTTATATATCAGTATGATATATACTATACAAAGTAATATAAAAAATCATTATTATTTCCATCTTTTCGTGCGATTGCGTGTAATGTAAGTCAAATGACATCTCGGATATCGTTGCCTCAATTTCTCGGCTCTGATGTTTAATGCCAAAATATATGCATGAAAAATCTTTGTCACAGTTCGTAACCTAGCACAATAAAGCCATGAAGTTCCAATTTTATAATATAGATCACGATTTCCTGCTTAAAACATTCAGAATAACACGATTTAACAAAAAACTTTCGTCAAAATCTGAAATTCATCATACACAAGGACAGTACCATTGCTGTAATTTGATTGGCTGCCCTAGGTCACATGCTCAAATTCGCCCAATCACGAACTTTGTATAAGATTTCGGCAAGAAAGCGTCATTAGAAACCAATTTCTCCGTATGTTACAGCAACAAAAAGACTTCGGGAGAGGTTACTGTCATCTACATAAAAAAAATAGCTTTCTAATGGTGTGTAACATGGCAGTTTTATTCATACGAAGCTTCGCAAACGTAGGTATTTCTTCATGTTACTTAGCAGACAGCCGCTGTTATCGGAAAATGGGTGAAGACAGATATTATTTTTAATTCTTTTTAAAATAATTTTCTGATTACGCAAACAATGAAAATCAAAAAGAAATAGGTAAGTGGATCTTATGAAATCTTATATTTGCTGCAAATCGTCAATTTTTCCATTTCTTGGTCCATAATCTGGACGTTCTGAATGTGTGAGCTTTCATCTTCAACAAACTTAACTAAGTTGTAAATGCAGTATTTAAATAATGTAATAAACATAGCTTTCATATGTATGAACAGTAGGATAAGACCTTTTAAACGGTGTATTACATGTAGTAGCAAAGATGTTTTACAAGCAGACATTTTCCTTGATAAATGTTTTCTTCATCTATCACACAAGAGTCTCTGGGAACTTTTAATTTACATGAATTAGTGACAAGTTAAATAAAGTCAATTTCACTGACATTTTGATTTTTTCAATCTTTCAAGAAATCAGGCATACACCATTGTGTTTAAAATTGAGATTGAAGTAAAGTATCTTTTTAAAGTGACTATCCATGATGTCATCATATCATGTTTGACAGTTCTCAAAACAAACATCTATTTGAGAGCCAGCTAATATATTAATGCTCAAACATTTAACATTGTTACAATTGCAACATTATGTTCTAATTTGATGTCTTTTACTGTAATCAATTATAATAAGTAACAAACAATAACAAACAATAACAAACAATAAAATAATTTCAAATAAACATAATCTTTTATTTATCATTGTTGTAATAGGTAGAGTTGCATGGTGACTAGCGTTTCATTTTGGCTACTGATTAAAAATATTTTCTAAGCTATCAGCAGGTAAGTCAGAAAGTTTTTAGCCCATGTTATTATGCACAAAATATTTATAAGCAATGTTTACAACATTTTTCGATGAGTGGCTGTCTTTGTGACTTTCTTGACTACACATCCAGGTGAGCTAAAGTGCCTTGACGATATTTTATGTCACTGCAGGCCGATCACCCAGAGCCAGGCAGGAGGTACTCCGGCATTCATAGAACAGCCTACCTACCGTACAATGATGAAGGATGGGAGGTACTGAAGCTGCTGTACAAGGCGTTCGATGCTGGTGTCACCTTCACCATCGGGGACTCTCGAACTACAGGCCACAGTGGCGTCATCACCTGGAACGACATACATCATAAGACGAGTATGACAGGGGGGTCTTCAGGGTAAGTCCTAACCAAATGATTCCTATAAAGACTTTATTGCGAAGGGTTTGTCACGATTAGTGAGTGAGTGAGTGAGGTTTTACGCTGCTTTTAGCAATATTCCAGCATTTTCACGGCAGGGGACACCAGAAATGGACTTCATACATTGTACCCATGTTGGGAATCAAACCCGGGTCTTTGGCGTGATGAGCGAACGCTTTAACCACCAGGCTACCTGACCGTCCCTTGTCATGATTAACTTGATAAAGATCAAAATAGATCAAAAGATAAAAAAAAAGCTGTGATACCATGAGAATGTTGAGGTAATCACACTGGAAAACTATTTTCTGGGGGTACTTTGGTGATTTGCAAAATGTGGTATAACTGATCATGTGTTTGAGGCATGCTGGGGTAGCCTAGTGGTCAAAGCATTTGCTTGTCAGACTGAAGACCGGGTTTGATTCCCCACATGGGTACAATGTGTGGAGCCCATTTCTGGTGTCCCCCGCCGTGATATTGCTGGAATATTGCTATAAGCAGGGTAAAGCCAAACCCCCTCCCAAAAAAAGGACACCCACCAGCACTTTTTTTCCAAAAGCCATTGCCTGAAAAGCAATTTGTTATACATTTCCTGGAAATGATCCAACCAGGCAGAACATACAATGATAGTTCCAGCAACATTCTGTCCACTGTGGCACGATGACATGTATATATATGAGGGTTGGAGGTCATAATTAAGAATAATGGAAAGTCCATCAATAATGCGCCAGTTTCCATTCACCTAGTGAGCCCTGATGTTACTACATTTTTATTACCGGGTATGCTTAAGCTTGAATGCCCGCTTACCCGGGCATACTTAAGCTTGAATGCCCGCTTACCCGGGCATACTAAAACTTGAATGCCCGCTTACCCGGGCATACTTAAGCTTGAATGCCCGCTTACCCGGGCATACTAAAACTTGAATGCCCGCTTACCCGGGCATACTTAAGCTTGAATGCCCGCTTACCCGGGCATACTTAAGCTTGAATGCCCGCTTACCCGGGCATACTTAAGCTGGAATGCCCGTTTACCCGAGCATACTGAAGCTGGAATGCCCGCTTACCCGGGCATTCTGAGGGAATAACTCCTTCACAGGAAAGTCGAACCTGTATTTATAACCGAGTGACATAGTTAGAGGTTTGTAAGTTGGTGTTGCAGCTCTAAGGTGCATCTGTTCCAGGTACGGCTACCCTGACCCGGACTACCTGAAGAGAGTGAAGGAGGAGCTAGCCCTGAAGGGGATCACAGCCTCCCCCTGAGAGGTCAACACTGACCACGGGTCATCGTGGCCGAAACAAGACAGAACTGCTTCCAGGTCTTGCTTCTGTGACCTCGGGATGACCCTTAAACTGTACATTTCACAACCGATATTCTGAGTGTCTCAGGTCAGATACAAGCTGAGATCAAGAGGTGCCTAATGCTAGATTAGAAAATTAAAGAGCACCAAACCATTTGAAAATGGATTTCAAATAATGTACAATTGCATTAACATGGTGTGTTTTTTAGGGCTGGCAAAAAAAGATCAATAATCAGAATTATCGTTGAAGGGAAATAATATTAACGATTATCGATATGAAAATTGATAAAATCCACAAAAACTATTTGGATGAAAACAAAATTAGATTTACCAAAACAGACTTGTTGTTGTCAATAATATCAATTGCTGAAGATGGAAAGTAACTCTCTTTGTTACATCTCAAATGTCCACAAACTAATCCCTGCATAAATGTGTTACCACTCACCAGTGGAGAGATGTATGTTGATTTCTTTGGGACTCTTTTTTGCGTATTTGCTTAAAGTTACTTATATTTATCAATAATTGATCGATATTTAGTCACCAATTATCGATCTCTATGATCTGTATCGATAGCAAGCCCCGAATGCTTTTACATACAATCAGATTTAGTTGAACTAACACCAGTTCAAGTGTGTATCTTCATAGTTTTCATGTTATTGTCATGAATGACAAAACAAGGCAACTTGGTAGGAATTTACGCTGAGAGAAGACAATTGTTCGCCCCTGCCTCTAGGACTTGGATTTGGAGTAGCCGTGTTTTGCTCATTGTGTTTCTTAATATCGTGACTTTTGTTGGACTGTTGTAATGTGACTAAGACCAGTAGACATGTGGAACAGAGCTCATGTACTGTCAAGGATACATTTTGGTTATGATATTTTATGTGTGGTGTCTTGTTACAGTCCTGGGTCCCATTCCACAAAGCCATCTTAGCGCTACGACTGTTGTAAGTCTATGTTTAGTATGGGAATTACGATCGACTTAGCGCTAAGATCTCTTTGTGGAACGGAGCCCAGGTCCAAACATGACTTCTACATGTTGTATTTATGATAGATCAGGTTAAACTGCTCCATAGGTAATCAGGTAAAAGTATCATTTTTCTGGTCACTATTTGCTCTAGGGTCCACATGATGAAGAAATCTTTAACGCTAAAGTTATTGTAGACCTATGCTAAAGTATCAGGGTTACGTTGGTCTTAGTGCTAAGACTATTATAAGTCTATGTTAAAGTATGAGAGTTACGTTGGTCCTAGCGCTAAGACTATTATAAGCCTATGTTAAAGTATGAGAGTTACGTTGGTCTTAGTGCTAAGACTATTATAAGCCTATGTTAAAGTATGAGCGTTACGTTGGTCTTAGCGCTAAGACTATTATAAGTCTATGTTAAAGTATGAGAGTTACGTTGGTCTTAACACTAAAATTATTGTAAGTCTTTGTTAAAGTATGTAAGTTATGTTAGTCCTAGCGCTAAGACTATGGTAAGTCTATGTTAAAGTATGAGAGTTACGTTGGTCTTAGCGCTAAGACTATTGTAAGTCTATGTTAAAGTATGTGAGTTACGATGACAATGGTCTTCATGCAATGGTCGCTCTGTGCAAGTGGGCTGTGCTGGAGGGATGTCTGATGATGAGAGGACTGTGTGAGGCAGTTCAGCAGAGTGGGGACATGGCACCATTTGTGCTTGTGAAGACAGTCATAGTTACTGACATATTGATACATAAATAAATAGTTCTTATTGATGAAGAATCAATAGATCTTGACATTTTGTTAAAGAATTGATAGATCTTGACATCTTTATAAAGAATTGATAGATCTTGACCTATTAATAAAGAATTGATAGATCTTGACGTATTGATAAGTAGTGATAGATTTTGACAGATTGATGAAGAATTGATAGATCTTGACATCTTTATAAAGAATTGATAGATCTTGACCTATTAATAAAGAATTGATAAATCTTGACGTATTGATAGGTAGTGATAGATCTTGACATATTGCTAAAAGATTGATAGATCTTGACAAGATTGATGAAGAATTAATAGATCTTGACATTTTTTTTATAAAGAATTGATAGATCTGGACATATTGATGAAGAATTAGTAGATCTTGACATTTTTATAAAGAATTGATAGATCTGGACATATTGATGAAGGATTGGTAAATCTTGAAATATTGATAAATATTGAAAGATCTTGACGTATTGGTAAATATTGATAGATCTTGACATATTGATAAATATTGATAGATCTTGACAAATTGATAGATATTGATAGATCTTGACATGTTGATGAAATCCTGAGTGGTACTTACCACAGAAGTCCAGGTTTATGTGTTGAGAGTTGGCGCATGATCCGTTATGAAAGCAGTATTTTTCAAAATGTATATGTTCATCAATCATGTACAGTAAACTACATTTATAGAAAACACGCTTATAACGAACTGACGGATATAACAAACTGTCATTTGCTGTATATATGCTGTATATACGCTTATAACGAATTACGGTTATAACGAACTAAACTTCGTGGTCCGCTTGAGTTCAGTATAACCATAGTTTGCTGTATATAGAAAATAAATTCAAACTCAAAATTGGGAAGATTTGATCAAATCAATACATTTTGTAAAGTTTTAGGTGAACTTTAAATTATTTTATTCAAGAATTGGTTCTGTTTGTCCTTTTTAAGAAAGGACTAAAGAAATGTGACAAAAAGAATTTTCATATTATCATGGATCAAAGGCGACGTAATAACCCAACGAGCTGTTGTCTCGTCTCATTTGCCCTTTGTATGAAAGGGTGTCAGTCTTCCGTCCAAACATGAGTAAATACTCGATACCCTGTCATACCCGGTACCCTATCATACCCGGTACCCTATCATACCCGGTACACAATCATACCTGGTACCCAATCATACCTTGTGCCCAATCATACCTGGTACCTGAACATACCTGGTACCCTATCATACCTTGTGCCCAATCATACCTGGTACCTGAACATACCTGGTACCCTATCATACCTGGTACCCTATCATACCTGGTACCTAATCATACCCGGTACTTAATCATACCTGGTACCCAATCATACCTGGTACCCAATCATACCTGGTACCTGAACATACCTGGTACCCGAACATACCTGGTAACTGATCATACTTTGTTACCTGAACGTACTTTGTTACAGAAAAGAAATTCCGGTTTATGTTGATATTTGCCCTTGATGGTATTGATGCTATTAAACAAATATACTTCAGTGAGGCAAGGGCAGAAGTTTACCTTTGGCTTTTCAAGCATTCTAACATGATTCAACGGGCTGGGTTTTTTTTTATCTGATTGGTTCAAGATTGCAGACAAATGGAAAATCGACCAACTTCTCCATTACATTCTTACTATAACAATTACATGATAGTTGCAATGAAACAGAAATTCAAATTTACAAACAACGAAAATACTTTAGCGGGGGTAAGAGTATTCGGCGTCATGGCAGTCATCACTTGTTTGTTAACATAGCGGTCAGTCGGCTTTGAGTTCAACTCCAAGCATGGATGTAGCCACCCATGGCTTTCACTGGTGGCAGCGGTAGTGTAGAGAGCTCCCCGAACAGGCTATAACTGTGAGGAGCTTGGGTGTTCGATTCCTTGACATAGAATTTGAGTCCATCTATCCCCATCCTGTGCTTGAGTACTCTGTACAAACATGTAAACAAAGACTCATTCTTAATTTGGAACACTGTAATTGATTAACCTTCTATTGACTGTTGTTGCCTCATCTATGTGTATGCATCAGCCCGAGGCAAGAGAATTAACTGACTTTAAAAGTCCAGTTTCCGCCCTGGAATTCCTGGGCTCGATCGTAGCGCCACCAGTAATTATTACGAGTTATGTCCCTTCTAAACCTCTGCTATGGACCAATCCGATTCCATCACTTGCATTTGTTTCAAACAAAATGGCGGCGCCCAGTCAAGACGATCTAAACGTTAATCAAGATCTATATTGTGATAAAACAGGTTTTACATCGCAAAGTGCATAAAGTCACGCGAGCACCTTGATTAAAAACATGAAAAGGTTTGGAAAATATCTGTTGACAACAAGTTGGCGGTGCACATGCTTTGCAAATCCTGCAATCGACCGAAATCTGCACGACAATATACGAACCAGATTTTGATTTCGTTGCGCAATTTTGATTGGATCTTTGAATAGACTCGTTAGTCCAGCCAAAACATAACTCTATAATAGCAACCTAGTTCGGCAAGGGTGGAAACTGGACTTTTATAGTCAGTTAACTCTCTTGTCTCGGGTAGATGATATGTATGGGGAATTGTACATAATTGTGACCGCCTCTGTGGTCTAGTGGTAGATCATCTACTTGGAGAACAGAGGGTCAAGGGTTTGATCTCCGGCAGCGTCATACCAAAAGACGTTAAAAGATTGTACTTGTTGTTACCCTGCCTGATGCTTGTTGTTACCCTGCCTGACGCTTGGCATAAAGGGGATAAAACAAGGACTGATCAACTCGGGAGTCAGTATACTGCAGCATGGTAGGCGAGCACTATAAAACTGGCATTAGTCCGGACTGGTGCACGCACGCACGTCGCTTAATGAGTGTAATTATCTTGAACGCGACGTTAAACCCCCTTCCACCTCACCTCACCTCACCTGTACATATTTGTAGGCTTACCACTGACCATGTATTTTCAGTTTCAGTTTGTATCATAATAACAAACCAACTTTTCTTCCAACTCTTTAAAATCTATTTTCTATCAGTACACATGTAAATATTTACATGGCTGAATAATTTTCACAGTTATGATGCATATAAATAGTTATATTTGAACCAGGAATAATTTGTTGTATACACATGATGTTAATGTAGTGTTTGCTGTAAATTGTCTATATGTGTTGACTGTGGTGTTTTGTCAATGTTGTACACCACTCTGGCAGTCAGTGTGTAACTACAATAAATTGTCAGATATTTTCACCTGATTTTAACCACTTAGATTTGTAAATAGAGAACAAGAAGTAAACTACCTTTATGAACAATTATACTTTATTTGAGTTTGGAAGCTGTAGTGTCAGTGTAACCAGTGTGAATCATTGATCATAGTGTAAATCACTGGTTTGTCAGGTCCAGACTATTTACACAACTGCTGTCATGTAGCTGGAATATTGCTGAGTGCAGCACTAAACAATAACTTCAACTGAAGAAGTGTGTTATCAAGGGGGTAAGATTGACTTTTACTAATGGGTGCCCTAAAGGAAGTATATGTTAATAAATCAATCCTGTTTGAATTAATGAATTGTTTAATACGCATTACTTAGAAGTTGACGGATGAAAAAGTAGACACAATTTATGGATAACGACTTCTTTATTTACAGTAAAGGCGACGTTTCAGTATATGCAAAATTTTTCAAAAAATTGTTTTATGGGAAAAAACCCAGTTGCGCTTCATGCGCGCTGCCCGGTTACACCTCATGGCGGGAATCAATACATCACTTAAAAGATATGACGTAACGGTGACGTCATCCACGTTAGCGTCATCCACGTCAGCTTTCTGATTATCGCGCATCTCCGCCTGGATAGCCGCCCGCTCCGGACGTGTTTTGCCCTGTCTCATTTTAGCAACTTAAAATCAACGTTTCAGTATAAATCTTTATACCATTGTCAAGCTAGCCTACAATGGTATAAGGATCTATACCGAAACTTCACCTTTACTGTAAATAAAGAAGTTGTTATCCATAAATTGTGTCTACTCTATTTGAATTAATAAAGAAACCACGAACTCCAACTAAGGGAGGAGCGTTGGTGTAAGATCGTCCATTATGTTTTGTTGTCTAGATCGTTGACCCATGTTGGATTATTTGATTGTTCACTTGATGGTATCATTGTTTGGAATATATACCTATATTGTCCCTTAATATGATCATCAGGAAATGGTAACTAATGTTCTTTTTTCAATGTACATGTAGACATCTGATGTCTGATAAGTGGGTCTCATTAGCTCACCTGTTTGAAAGTCAAGTGAGCTTATGTCATGCCTCATGTCCTGTGTCCAGCAACTGTCAAACTTTTAATTACATATTCAGGTGAGCTACAGTGCCCTAGCACCATTTTGATATCATTGAAGCATCTGATATCATGAATGGCCATGATGGTGGTGGGAAGGGATATCGATTTGGGTGGCAGGAGGTTGATTGGCAGCGGTAGACAGAAACATTTTTAGTCCACTAGTCATGATGATAACATATAGCAAAACACTTAAAAATGGCAAATTTCTCCTAGTTCTTTATGATACCTTAACTATTGGCAGTTTGGCAAGGACTACAGGACTAGTGCCAATTTCTATCGCTGATTGGTATAAAAATATATTGGTTTCGCCTAATGCGGATTCATGTTTTGGGTAGCCTGAAGTTGTTAGGAGGGACAATATAGTTTGAAGAAAATATATGGTATTACTCTTTCAAGTGGAGGATGTTTAGTATTTTTATAGTTATGTTTATTATTATGTATTTATGTCTAAGAATAGTTTGTTTTATGTAAAAAGTGTGCAGTGGCAGACTATATACGATGTGTATGTAAACTATATATATATGTAATTTATTTCATCAATTATCTAAAAACTTAATACACATGTAGTTACTTTTATTTCTTATTGTTTTTTAAGTTGTATCTGTTTAGTTCTCCGATCAATTAAAGATGGATCTGGCGAATATAAAGAAATGTGTTTAATTTAATCTAATTTATTTTAAAATAAACACTATTCTTATTTTAAAATAAAAACTTCTTTTTTATTTTGTGATTGTGGCTTTTGGCTCCAGTCAGTTGAATGTGTAAACCGAAAACTAAATGTGTCCGATATTCAGCTTCATTGCTGAATTTCACTAAGTGAATGTTGACTAACCCTTGGTCTCAGTTCCTGATACAGCAACAGACCCACAACCACTCTTGTATTATGTAATCTGTATATCTTGAAGGTTCTATTTATGATTCACCACAGTGCATGCATGCATGCAGATTGTAAATAACTTTTGGTTTGGCTTTGGATGTTAATTGTAATGTTATTATCATGTACCATGGTCAAGAAGGTCAAACATGTGAAGGTCAGACATGTGAAGGTCAAACATGTGAAGGTCAGACGTGAAGGTCAAACATGTGAAGGTCAGACATGTGAAGGTCAAACATGTGAAGGTCAAACATGTGAAGGGCAGACATGAAGGATCCTGTAGTGTACAAAGTTGACCCGGGTGAGCATGCAGCACTGGTTACGATTATTTTATCACACATTCAAAGGAGAACCAACCATATTTGTTAGAGAATCAGATATCATGCATAGGATGGCATTGACATTAGGCGGCAATTAGCACTGAATACTTCAATATTTCAGTCTTTATTTTAAAGTAATGTAATATGTTTGTCTATTAAATTTGACCCTTATAAGTTAAGGAAGAAGTCATGGGGTCTCTCATAACCCAGTGTTATAAACCTTAAAGACCCCAGCAATCCTTAATTTCAAACACAGCTTACAGCAATCTCATAAAATCAGATTTTTGTGCTCACTACTGCTACCAAGGCTTAGCACTATATATGAGTTTGAGGTGATGGGCTCAACAGAATGTCCAAGTGCCAGTGGCCTTTCAAACCAGTTGAGTGATGCCATGTATGTGAAACTGTCAAGTGTAGGATGTAATCTTGTAATGTTTATTTATTTATGTTTGTCAATGCTTTTTTAATGCATTTTGACCATGAAGTTGATATTTGACAAAAGTAAATCAGGAAAGTACCTGATCCTGAAAACACACGTTATATTTGGCATTGGAATGAATTCAACTCTCCTAGTTACATATGTATGAGGGGCGGTGGGGTAGCCGAGTGGTTAAAGTGTGCGCTCATGCTGAAGACCCAGGTTCGTATCCCCACATGGGTACAATGTGTGAACCTATTCCTGGTGTCCCCTGACGTGATATTGCTGGAATATTGCAGAAAGCGGCGTAAAACCACACTCACACATGCATGTTTGTTTTGAGTCCCAGATTTCATGGCCAAGGTTTCTGTTTGTTTGTTTCTGGTTTCAGACGACCGTGTTTCAGTTGTTGTTATTTTGTACCTGTAGCAGTAGCACATGTATATTTGTTCCCAAGTGTCAGTTGACAAAGATGGCTTTAAAGTTACGGAAACAAATGTAATCTTTTTAACCTTTACCATACAGAGTGGTATGGCAATTAATGTTGTTTGTTACGTAGTATTAAACCGGTGCCAAGCTGTTGGCAGCTGCAGGAAAACACAATTGGCTCACCTTTGACCTTGCTGCTAGTAAAGGAACCTGTTAATCAAAGTGATCTCAGTGAAAGGCTTTACCCAGGTCTGTCTCATTTCCAGGGACCTCTCAGGTATAAATTTGGGGGATCCAAGACATGCCTCACTTGGGTTCCAAGAATTTTGGCTTCATATCGTTTGACCTGGTCCTAGTCAAGCCTATTACGGATGGAGATTTCAATGTTAAACTGGAGCCAATCAATAATTAACACTCTGAACTGAGCATATTTCTTCTCAAAACAGAAATGTAGGTTGTATGTCTACAAGTTTGATATATTATATGAATCAAATAGTCTTGCATCCCACAGGATGTAAAATAATTTTGTTTCCATCCAATCACAATTTGTATGTGTGTAAATTGTGTCTGGTAAAACACTAATATGCTGTGACAAACGTAACTCCTTTACTTAAACATAGGCTTATGATGTTCATAGTACTAAGACATTCTAACTCCTATACTTGAACATAGGCTTACGATATTCGTAGTACTAAGACATCCTAACTCCTTTACTTAAACATAGGCTTACGATATTCGTAGTACTAAGACATCCTAACTCCTATACTTGAACATAGGCTTACGATATTCGTATTACTAAGACATCCTAACTCCTTTACTTAAACATAGGCTTATGATTTTCATAGTACTAAGACATTCTAACTCCTATACTTGAACATAAGCTTACGATATTCGTAGTACTAAGACATTCTAACTCCTTTACTTGAACATAGGCTTATGATGTTCGTAGTACTAAGACATTCTAACTCCTATACTTAAACATAGGCTTACGATATTCGTAGTACTAAGACATTCTAACTCCTTTACTTAAACATAGGCTTATGATGTTCGTTGCACTAAGACATTCTAACTCCTTTACTTAAACATAGGCTTATGATGTTCGTTGCACTAAGACATTCTAACTCCTTTACTTAAACATAAGCTTACGATATTCGTAGTACTAAGACATTCTAACTCCTATACTATAACATAGACTTACAATATTCGTAGTGCTAAGACATTGTAACTCCTATACTATAACATAGACTTACAATATTCGTAGCACTAAGATCACTTTGAGGAATATACTGAATTCCTGAATTTGCATTTCTGTTTTATTTGCTGTTTATAGTGTAGTTCCGTCCAACTGAGTATATTCTGCTAAGTCAAACCTGAAGCTACCAATTGCCATTTTTACTTTTTGGATAGGAAAGATGTTAACATTCTTTCCTTGTTGTCTCAAAACCGATATCTTTAACAGTTTGCATTTAATGGCAACATAAAACATGCATATAATACAGTTTTTTATTGCTTATACATTCAAACACTACTACATCATCTTAAGATATGTTCTCCGTTGTGTCAAACCTCGAAGTATTTACGTAGGTCCCTTCAACTTCGACACAACGCGTATAACTGTATGTATATATTGTGACAAGACATAAAGAAACAATAGATGTTTTTGTTTCTAAGGCATAACAAAATGTAAGAGGCCTCTTTCCTTCTCTATTGATATCCTTTTTTTCATTGGGTCCTCATGAAATACAATCTCACTGAAATCAGATCTTAGTTCTTGCTGCCGCTAAACAAAGATCTGAGGACATCCCATTACGGGTCACGTCACGGGACAAAAAAATAACATGTGGAATCTAATATCACTATAATTCAAACTTTGGAAGAAATAATGACTGATTTCCTAAGTTCATAATATTTAAATATTTGAATCAGTAACAAACAAAAAACTGAAACAGAATCTGTTTGTTAAAACTATATTTGTAAATTCACCTTTGTATTTTGTTGCAGTGTTTGCTTTTAGTATTTACATATTTTTATATATCTAAAACTGTTAGAGCTTTTATTGTTAATGTATAGTTTTACACTGTTTCTTATAATCAGTTTTCATCTATGTATACTATATATCTGAATTATTATTACAATCCTAAAATAATAATAACACATCATGAAGTAATCTTAACTAGTGATGATTGTAAATAATTATTAAGAATATTTCTTGTGGAGGTCGATGCTGATGAAGTAGAATGAAAAGGGAACCATTTTGAATGTGTACAAGCTGCACGGGAACATAGACTTGTATAGACGTTTTTGTAAAATAATTTTCTATGAACATGAAAATAATATTTTTGTATAAAGCAAGCATGACATGAAATGTTTCTGTTTGATTTCTTCATTTATAGATCGTTTTTAGAAAGGATAAAACATCTATACCTGTCCCTATGCCAGAAACCTATGATTGTCGGTTCGAATCCCGGTTCGCCTCGATTATGTTTCTAGGTTTGTCAGCACCATACCTGTGCTCGTGGGTTTCACCAAAGTGGTAAACGTCTGAGACCTGCTTTCCTCCTAAATTAAGCTGACACGCCATGATATGACTGGAATACTGTTAAAAGGGGCGTTAAACCCAACTCACTCACTCTATACCTGTGCAGTATTTAAATTGATCTAGAATCCATTGGTTCCCGCAGCAGGTTAGCGGCCAGGGTTCTGTTCCACTAAGCTATCCCTGTGATGTGATAACAATACCTCCAATACTGTAACACAGGCTTACGATAGTCATAGCTCTAAGATCGCTCTGTGGAACGGGGCCCAGGCGGCGGGCCGAAAATGTACAAACTTGGGTGCGCATTCTTAACATCTTTTACGAATGTAAATAAACATGGAGAAATGTCCACATACTGGAAGTTTTTTGGTCAATAAACATTATTACAAACTGCTCTACCTATGTTATTTTTTCGATGAGCAGTTTTGCCTCATTTCAACTGTTTGTTTTCATTGTATACCAATAACCAATTAATGTTATGAATAGTGCCATAGCGTCATCCAATCACAGCCTACGACATATCAGCCACGGAAGGTGTACTCGTTCAGGTAATCAGGATCCCAGTCAACAAGGTTTGTTGTAAATAAATAATTCAACCAGAAATTGAGTCCTGTAACTGTTTCTGGATAAAAAAAACCAGGTTTCACAGTAGTGCATGGCAGTGTGATGATGTGCTTTGATAGTGATTCATGAACACATTTGGTACTTATGGAGACGTTTTCAGGAAAACAATAAAGTTATTTATAGACCGTCCCCATTGTGGCCCATACCAGTAGCCACCCCACGTCAAGACCGATGGATTCGAACCACGTACCTCGACACAGGTTCCAGCCTGCATCCCTTACAGCCCGTACCATACCTGGCAACAGAGGTGTATCTGCGAGAACAGTTTGACGACATCTTCGCGTCTACGGCATCCGTGCAAGACGCCCAGCCCGATGGACAAACCTGACGCCAGACCATCTATGTCGACGTCTCCATTTGAACAGTCAACACTTGCGATGGGGAGCACGTGAGTGGAAAAGAGTTATATTCGCAGAGCTGATGTCAGGACACGTGTGTATAGGCACACAGGTGAACGTTGCATCAAGCCATGTGTTCTGGAAGGGGATCGTTTTGGAGGTGGGGGATTGTTGTTGAGTGGAATTTGAATGCTTGTGAGGTACCGAGACGACATTTTTGCAAATGGCCGGTTTAACGTTTTTGTAACAGAAGTTACGTTTCCACACGATCACGCCAGACCACCCGTTGCTCGAGTTGTACAGCAGTATCTTAATCAGAACATTGTTAATGTGTTACCCTGGTCCGTAAGTTCCCCTGATTTGTCTCCCACTGAACACGTCTGGGGTGGAATAAAGCGACGTTTGCGACGTCATCCGAAGCATCCATAACGCTGCTGGACTCCGCCAGATCCCTTCTCGGATTTGTGGGGGCACGGGTGGCCCTGTCGTCTAAGGCGCCGCGATTCGCTATGCAGAGTTGTGTCCCTTGGCAACGCCAGAAACTTATAATTGTTGGTTCGAATCCTGGTTCGCCCCGATTATGTTTCTAGGTTTGTCAGCACCATACCTGTGCTCGTGGGTTTCACCGAAGTGGTTAACCTTTTAGGCCTGCATCACTTCGGGCTTTCCTCCCACATTAAGCTGACACGCCATGATATAACTTGAATACTGTTAAAAGCGGCGTTAAACACAACTCACTCACTCCTCGGATTTGTAATGATCTTCCCCAGAACTTTCATCGACGTTTAGCGGCCTCAATGCGGCGAAGGTGCCAAGCCTGTATCAATGCACAAGTTGGACACACTCGTTGCAGACCGTGTGAACGTTTTGTGAACCCCCTCTTGTGTTGTTCGTTTGCATATGCCATGTGCGCTGTTCTTGTGGACTGTTGATACTTGAAACATTTGTCTTTCCATGTAATAGCCTTTCATTTGCGGCAATAAATGTTTAACACTGAATCTGTGATTTGTGTACCGCAGTAACTTTTGCCTTTGAGTGTTTAAATTTATTTCGTTATTCGTGTATCACTGTTTATCAGCATTTGGTAAAATCAACATGGTACATAAGCAGATTATTTCAGGAGACTAATGCAGGTACAGCACTTTCAATCATTTTGCATCGTTGGTTTGCAGCAAAAGCAATGAGTGTATCTGCCAGAAAGTTGTAATGAAGAAATGCCACAAATTCATTCTTGCAAATATGTCAATACTAAAATCTGACTACCAATACTCCTTACTGAAATAGACCGCCTCCGTGGTCTAGTGGTAGAGCGTCCGCCCGGAGAGCGGAAGGTCCAGGGTTCGATCCCGGGCCGCGTCATACAAAAAGACGTTAAAAGATTGTACTTGTTGTTACCCTGTCTGGCGCTCGGCATTAAGGGGCTAAAACAAGGACTGGTCGGCTGGTGGGGTATTCATGTTAAACTGCGGCATGGTATCTCAGTGAGCTAGCACTATAAATCGGCATTAGTCCGGACTAGTACAAGCAGCCACACACACACATACACGTGCATGCAACCCAATTTCACCTCACCTCACCTTACTGAAATATCGGTTTAACATGTTTACATCGAGAGACCTACATCTATAGTCCATCCCCAAAACACTGTCATGATCAGTGAGCCATGAGCACGGCCAAGAGAGCAGCCAAGCCGATTAGTAACAGTGGTCATCAATTAAACAATTACCAGGTCATTAGTTTGTTATTCTTGTTTACAGTTAGCTATATATCAAAGGAAGATCAGAGTTTCAAAATTATCCTACATTGGCATGTGTTTTCTAAACCGGAAGTTGGTGTTTTATTTTGTTAAGGTAACTATACGCATTGGAATTTCTGTGTCAAAGTTGCACTGCATTTGTGCATGTGCTTTCTCAAACCGGAAGTGTTTTCCTTAACCCGGAAGTGCTCAAAGGGACCGGTCATGGTTGGGTCAGAGGTAATCAGGGTAGGGTCACAGGAAAAGGATGCTCTTGGGATATGCCATTAAAATAATACACATATTTGGGGAGGGTCATGAATATACAAAAAATAAAAATTGCTGGGTAGGTTCGTCAAAAATATGACAAGTATTAGGGGAGGGTAATTATTATAATTGACCGGTCTCTTACAGCCGCTTGCAATTGGTTTTTATATCTGTTTTTATTTACAGAACGATTACAGGACTCACTTTCTGGTTGAATTATCTATTTACAACAAACATTTTTTTCAAACCAATCTTATAATTCTCTAACTGAATAGTCAGAGGTAGACGAAGTGCAGTGCGCTCGTAATTCTCGCACCTGTTCACGTTTCATACAACCGGGGTAGATTTAACAACACATTTGTATGTAGCCAGGAGGACTTGCTCCTTCTGAAAGATGCTGGCCCTTCTCCAAACTAACTGGCCTACAACTAAATGGTGGAAGCGGCGTATCAACCTTGCAGGGCTCTAAACCCTTTAGAACTCCTCACCTCGAAAACGTTTTTTCCTGCACTTTGAGATGAAAGCTTGGCTTCCATTTGCCTTATTTCATAGAGATTTATGAACAAAAAAAGTTGTTGTTCACATTACAAAATGCGACCAGTTGTATTTCTAACGAGATGATCCAATAATAAAAAGTACACGGAGAAGGAGTGAAAATGTGACCAGCCAGATGGGCGATACTACGTTTTTGCAAGCCCTTTTTAAATTTAACTGGCCGCGGGCCAACGTGTCAGCACTTAAACCGCGCCTGCACAAATGTGCGTCAGACTGAGTTAGAGTTTGGGAGAACGTTAACATTAACGAAGCGCCAAGTTCGTTTTCAATGTAAAGAACGTGGTCTCATGTTCAGTCGATATTTGTCTGGAACTGCCGATGCGACGTTAAATTGTTACTTGCTCATGCCTCCTGTCCACAGTCATACATGAGAAATGACTTCTTGAAAATGATTTATTGAGGAAATGAAAGTACAGGTGCATTGTCTGATTATCAAGAGCAACATGTCAATTTCCGAATTTCCGTGAGTGAGTGAGTGAGTGAGTGAGTTGGGTTCAACGTCGCTTATTCGATCCTAGAAGGCGAAGGGGAAAATAACTTGGATAATGTACATTTAGATGAGGGGTCACAAAAAGCTGGGTTGTGGAAGTGTGTCTTTACACCGTTAATGAAGAAAGCAATTCAATTAAATTGATTAAAACTGTATTCAAGTATCCAATACCATACACTATTATCAAGTAACAGTTTTGGTTACTTGCAGCCTCATTCGTGACCAACTCGTGTTATTCCGGGACAAGCCGAAAAGCGACTCGTGCCCCTCTCGTGGCCATTTTTGCGACCGGGTTTCGTCTTAGCGCAAACGGGCATACCTAAAACAATTGTCAACTCGTTGCGCAATAGTTCACATATATTTCCCCATATATTATATATATTTCAGATGCAATTTAAAGCACATCGGGGCATGCGGAATTATGAAGTATGATTGAACACATTTAACTGTGTCTTGGGTATATTTTTAGATGCAAGACATATGTAAAATCAAAAATTATTTCTGAGGGATTCTTTGAGGAAGAACTTGATTTTAATCATATGCGCATTCTGATTGGTTTGTCGTATGTTCGCACATAACATTCATCGATTGGGGGACGAGTCTTCTTGCAGTGTAGCGCCAGTGCAGCATACCAGGGGAACCAGTGTAGAGTCAGCGCAGCATACCCAGGGAACCAGGCTGGGTTTACGTGTTCCTTATGATCACCAATCTCATTAAAATCAGATCTTAGTTTTCGCTACCGCTAAACAAAGATCTGAGGACATTCCATTACGGGTCACGTCAGACCGACCTTGCGCGAACTCTGACCGACCAATGGAATGACCAATCAGAAGGCAGCTTTCTCGTGCTTTACGGCACTAATTTCAAATTGGCGACTACGCTTCGAAGCATATTTTGACAAATTCTCGATTATAAATTTGAAACCTGAACAAAAGAACATTCTGGAATGGCTAACAGATGGTCTAGATTGTATGGATTCAGTCGTTGAACCCGTAACTATCTTTCGGAGTTAAAGTTTTCGAGTTTGCGTGATTAGAAATCACATTCTAACTATCACTTTCATAGTCTGGTAAGCGATGCTCTGATTTGTCGGATGAGAGGTCGTTCAGACGTGACCCCAAATGGGATGTCCTCAGATCTTTGTTCAGCGGTAGCGAGAACTAAGGTCTGATTTTAATTAGATTGTTATGATCACCAGCTAGTTTGTCAAGGTGAAGTAAGTTGCCAATACTGTCAGGACTGACATTATGACGCCGATTGGTAGTGTCTGCTTGTTTCCGGAACTGACTGGACATTGTGGGCGGTCGCTGTCCTGTCCCCAACAGACTTGGTCCATGGTTTGAAACTTGGCCACGGCGTACGCCACGTATTGGCGGTAGGTGTCGGGGATCACCCTGAGGTGTCTCATGCCGACGAGGGAGAGATTGTTGTAGCGGATGAAGTCTCCAGCCCTGAACTTGCATCTGCAGTAAACACAAATCGTTAAATGTTTGTATTATGTACAATTTTAGTAAATGTATGTACGTATATACACCGTCTTTTGAAGGCCCCACAACACGTTTGTTTTCAGGATACGTGAACTATCATTTGGGGGTAAAACCCGAGACAAAAGTAATTTCCAGTTGTGTCTTGAACACATCGTTTTCAATGTCCCTCCGAAGTATACAAACCCAGAGAAACTGTTTAAAAATTCATTCTGTAATTAAGGCAATTCAACTGCCAGGCAAAAGAGGCTATACTCATGATAAAAATTACAAACGTTATCAAAACGTTACTAGGCTGAAAACACATCTATACCCATATGAGTGAGTGAGTGAATTGGGTTCAACGCCGCTTTTAACAATATTCCAGTTATATCACGGCGTGTCAGCTTAATGTTGGAGGAAAGCCCGAAGTGATGCAGGCTTCAGACGTTTTCCACTCCGGTGAAACCCACGAGCACGAGTATGGTGCTGACAATATGGCCTGTATTAGTCTGGCACAAAGCCAGTGTTCCGTGCTGCCACTGAGATACAATGCGGAAGTTTAACAGTATGGCGACATCTTTCAACGTCTTTTGGTATGACGCGGCCAGTCCGTTCCCCGGGCAGAGGTTCTATCTACTAGCATGAGGAAGTGAGTTTAGCTTTACGCCGCTTTTAGCAATATTCCAGCAATATCACGACGGGGTAAACCAGAAATGGGTTTCATACATTTACTCATGTGGGGAATCGAACCCGCGTCTTCGGTGTGACGAGCGAACGCTTTATCCACAAGGCTACTCCACCGCTCTCCACCGACATGTACATGTAGGAAATTGGGAAGGTTTCTACCTTCTGTCTATGTATGGATGACAGTCTGTTTCCCCGAAGGATCTGTCTGCTCGAACAGGGCAAACAGGTAGAGCTGATTCAACCTAGAACTCATGGGCAGCAGCCAGCTGTACATCACGTCACCGGAAGTGATGTCAATACCCTGGATGTTTACGATCATCCAGTAGACGTAGGAGTTCTGGTCACGTGTTCCCAGCTCCAGCGTGGGGTCGTACATCAACAGTGTATACTGCTTGTCTGAAAACAGAACCATACTGAAGTAACAAAATGACACGCACCATCCTGCGTTTACTGTTACTTTTCGCTGAAAGATTGACATATAGCAATATATAGCAAAAATAAAGCAAAAAAAACCCACCAGATTCTGTGATATATTCATAATTATCAGAGAGGGTGCATCAAAGCAATATTACGTAAGTTGTTACATTTTTTAGCGCCGCCCGCCTCACATAATTTATTGTTTCCAAGTACAGTAAACTACGGTTATAACGAACACGCTTATAACGAACTGACGGATATAACGAACTTACTTTTTGGTCCCAACTACTTGCTGTAGTTATGCTGAATATGTACTTATAACGAACTACGGTTATAACGAACTAAAATTAGTAGTCCCTTTAAGTTCGTTATAACCGTAGTTTACAGTACCTGCAGACTAAGAAAATCGCTCGTGTTTTCGCTCTTGATGACATATACCTATATTTGATTAAATATACCTAGTCCAACAGAACGTTCTTGCGTCCAGTGAATCAAATCTATCTATAGCACATGGCGGTGTATGGCTTGATCAGTTTGATAAGAATACTGCCTGGACGTAATAAAATATACACCCATGTTTGTTGGTGGCAAAGAATGAAACAAACAAAAAATGGTTATTCGATGGTGATGTATTTGTACGCGCATAGTTGCGTTTTGGGCCTTGCAGTGTTTCGGCGACTGTTTTCAGCGTAGTAACGTTTTGATAACGTTTATGATTTTGAGGTTAAATCCAAAATCCAATTTTCAAGTGTATGGTTTTTGGGGGCCGGCAGGTTGTGTCAACCGAATGTTCGTTAACTTTCTTCGGTTTCATTCTTGGCTTTGCAAAACCAGACAATTATTTATTTTTAGAAAAATCCGAGACCACCTCGCCACCCTTGAATGGGTGGTGGTGTATGTTCACTTGCCTCTCAGTGTCACTGCTGGGGGTTGATCTCTGATCTCCTCTGGGACCAGGCTGACTTGGGGGGAGATCCGAGTCTCCACGGAACCTACTAGATCCCTGTTGCGATAATCTACAGTGACGTTTACTGGGCTGGAACAGAGAAATTCGTTTTCCTCACCTCAAGGCCGAAAACCTGCATGTTACTGGTATTAGAATTGCCAAAACGATAGGAATGTATACTTGTACTCATTTCAGCACTGGAAGTGTCATAGTTTAGCGTTACACATCATTCTGGTACATCATCAAACGATAGGAATGTATACTTGTACTCATTTCAGCACTGGAAGTGTCATAGTTTAGCATTACACATCATTCTGGTACATCATCAAACGATAGGAATGTATACTTGTACTCATTTCAGCACTGGAAGTGTCATAGTTTAGCGTTACACATCATTCTGGTACATCATCAAACGATAGGAATGTATACTTGTACTCATTTCAGCACTGGAAGTGTCATAGTTTAGCGTTACACATCATTCTGGTACATCATCAAACGCTAGGAATGTATACTTGTACTCATTTCAGCACTGGAAGTGTCATAGTTTAGCGTTACACATCATTCTGGTACATCATCAAACGATAGGAATGTATACTTGTACTCATTTCAGCACTGGAAGTGTCATAGTTTAGCGTTACACATCATTCTGGTACATCATCAAACGATAGGAATGTATACTTGTACTCATTTCAGCACTGGAAGTGTCATAGTTTAGCGTTACACATCATTCTGGTACATCATCAAACGATAGGAATGTATACTTGTACTCATTTCAGCACTGGAAGTGTCATAGTTTAGCGTTACACATCATTCTGGTACATCATCAAACGATAGGAATGTATACTTGTACTCATTTCAGCACTGGAAGTGTCATAGTTTAGCGTTACACATCATTCTGGTACATCATCAAACGATAGGAATGTATACTTGTACTCATTTCAGCACTGGAAGTGTCATAGTTTAGCATTACACATCATTCTGGTACATCATCAAACGATAGGAATGTATACTTGTACTCATTTCAGCACTGGAAGTGACATAGTTTAGCGTTACACATCATTCTGGTACATCATCAAACGATAGGAATGTATACTTGTACTCATTTCAGCACTGGAAGTGTCATAGTTTAGCGTTACACATCATTCTGGTACATCATCAAACGATAGGAATGTATACTTGTACTCAGTTCAGCACTGGAAGTGTCATAGTTTAGCGTTACACATCATTCTGGTACATCATCAAACGATAGGAATGTATACTTGTACTCATTTCAGCACTGGAAGTGTCATAGTTTAGCGTTACACATCATTCTGGTACATCATCAAACGATAGGAATGTATACTTGTACTCATTTCAGCACTGGAAGTGTCATAGTTTAGCGTTACACATCATTCTGGTACATCATCAAACGATAGGAATGTATACTTGTACTCATTTCAGCACTGGAAGTGTCATAGTTTAGCGTTACACATCATTCTGGTACATCATCAAACGATAGGAATGTATACTTGTACTCATTTCAGCACTGGAAGTGTCATAGTTTAGCGTTACACATCATTCTGGTACATCATCAAACGATAGGAATGTATACTTGTACTCATTTCAGCACTGGAAGTGTCATAGTTTAGCATTACACATCATTCTGGTACATCATCAAACGATAGGAATGTATACTTGTACACATTTCAGCACTGGAAGTGTCATAGTTTAGCGTTACACATCATTCTGGTACATCATCAAACGATAGGAATGTATACTTGTACACATTTCAGCACTGGAAGTGTCATAGTTTAGCGTTACACATCATTCTGGTACATCATCAAACGATAGGAATGTATACTTGTACACATTTCAGCACTGGAAGTGTCATAGTTTAGCGTTACACATCATTCTGGTACATCATCAAACGGTAGGAGCAGTAGCTATATCCTGTACATTAATGACTACAACAAAATATCATTAAAAATGATGCGTCTAACATACACCGATTTTGACATTGCGTACGTTATAGAGGGGTACCCACCTTCTGTGATACACTATTCCGCATGATGTGTTATAGAAGGGACATGACAGTGAGAGACACTATTGTTGATATCCAACTAGTTTGTTGTTTGTTTGTCTGTGTCACCCGTAAGTCGCCTCTTACGACAAGCATAGTCGCCTTTTACGGCAAGCATGGGTTGCTGAAGACCTATTCTACCCCGTATCTTCACGGGTCGATATCCAACTAGTCCACAGCTCATTTCGGACCAGTGAGTTATGTGATGTAATTATATTTTAGGATAAAACAACATGTCCCTCCAGATTATCACTAGTCTCGGAGCACTACTCTTTGAGAGTACCCACTTTCAATGATACAATTTTACGGACGATGTGTTATAGCGGGGACATGAAAGTACCAAATTTCAGTGATGCTTTATATACAACAATGTGTTATAGAGGGGAATAAGGCTGTGAGGTATTACCGGTATATCGGTAAATTAAGGTTCATTCGTTCCACGATACATATCACAATATCATTTTTTCATGCTCGGGTGATATCAAACTGGGATGTCCATCATGTATTTAATGTTATACACTTGCCAAATGCCTTCGCTGCCCCTTAGCAAGCATCCGCGGCCCCAAGATGACTGCGTATTTATTGAAGGAGTAAACATTGTTGTACCAGCACCTTGTTTTGTTCCATTTATGAACTTCAGTTCATATCCTAATGTATTAGATTGCTTCTGAATTAAAAATTTAGAATTATACAATATATCGTGATATTGCAAAATATTGTGATACACTTTAAACCTCCAATACCAATCCCTAGAGAGTACCCACTTCAGTGATAAACTATTCCGCACAATGTGTTATAGAGGGGTCACCAGACCACCCACTTTCAGTGATGCATTATATAACACAATGTGTTATAGAGGGGACACCAGACCACCCACTTTCAGTGATGCATTATACAATACAATGTGTTATAGAGCGGACATGAGAGTACCCACTTTCAGTGACGCATTATACAATACAATGTGTTATAGAGGGGACATGAGAGTACCCACCTTGTTTGATACACAATGCCGCACGATGTGTACGTTATAGCGGGGAGCGTGAAGCTAACGTCAACGGAAACACTGAGATCAAGACGAGCCGGAAGTGACGTAAGACCACCTCTCTGCTGAATGTAGTTGCTCAACCTTAATGATAAACATATTGTTATAATTCGGTAATGACATTTTTCAGTGAATTGTTTCTAAGATATGTGTGCCCATCTTTGATACAATGACTCGACTGCATACCACGTATGATTAAACGCAAAAATAGTATAAACAATTATTGTAATATTTCATCAGGAATCTTTCAAAAAGGGACTTTGCGAATTCCTAGTCTGGACATATGCTTGTCGTAAAAGGTGACTAACGGGATCGGGTGGTCAGGCTCGCTGACTTGGTTGATGCATGTCATCGGTCCCAATTGCGTGGATCGATGCTCATGATGTCAATCACTGGATTGTCTGGTCCAGACTCAATTATTTACAAACCGCCGTCATACAGCTTGAATATTGCTCAGTGCGGCGTTAAACAACAAACAAACATTTGTTGCTAGATCGATATGGGTATCGTAGTGAATGGGTACCCGGTTGGATACTATGCACATTGATCCAATGACCAAGGCACAAATAATGAAGCGCCATGAGAATTCACTTGCTGAATAGAAGCTTGAGCATTATAAATAGACAATGTGGAATTTGCTGACTTCGGACTAGGTTGGAATTTCGTGGAACCACCAGTGGCTATAACGAGTTGTGCCGCCATTTTGTTTGAAGAAAATGCAAGTGATATGAAAGATGATATGAGCTGGTATTCCGGAGTTACATTTTGGCTGAGCTTACGAGTCTATGCATAGTCCAATCAAAATCGCATAACGAACTAGACATCCGGTTCGTAAGCAACATGGATTTCAACGTGTAGATTTCGGTCGACTGCAGGATTTGCCAAGCATATGTACCGCCAACTGGGTGTCATCAGATGTTTTGCTAATTTGCGCATGTTTTAATCAAGGTGCTCAAGTGAGGTTGATGCACCTGGCGGGGTAAAACCAATTTTATTACAAAATAGATCTTGATTATCGATGAGATCGTCTTGACTGGGCACCGCCATCGTTTGAAGCAAATGCAAGTGATATGAGAGGTGGAATTTGATTGGTCAATAGGAGGGGCATAGAAGGGACATAACCCGTAATATCCACTGGTGGCGCTACGACCCAGCCACGAAATTCCAGCCTAGTTCGGCAAGGATGGAAACTGGACTTTTGTAGTTAGTTAAGGGTTAACACCCTTGTCTCTAAAGACAAAGGGCACTCCTTGTGGGTTGCAGGTTTTAGATATTTCATTCACACTGTATGTATCAATCTAATGAACCCGTGAAGATCCGTGTTAGAATTTGCCTTCATCAACGTTTGCCGTCAGGAGCGAATAACGTTAGACACGGTTGATGCATGTCATCGTATCCCAACTGTGTAGATCAATGCTCAAGATTGTAATCACTCGATTGTCTGGTCCAGACTCGATTACTTACAGACCGCCGTGATGTAGCTGGAATATTGCAGAGTTCAGCGTTGAACAATAATAAAACAAAAACTTCAACAAAAAACATTCTATAATGATTCGAAACAAGTTAACAGACTAGAATATTTACCTTTTACCACTTGTAAAGTGGCCAAACAGTTCGATATTTCATGACGGATTTTTTAACAACTTACACTGCCCATAAAAGTGTGGACATCATATAAAAATGTCAAAATCCCGGAAGACGATGGTGGTGTACTCATCCGCAACGATCTTGATCACGTTGATGCCATACGACTGCGCTGCAACCAGGGACGGAGAGCATATGTAGCCTTTAAAAAGTCAGAGTTGGTGCACATTTGCGCATTACTCCAGGGCTCCAGATATAAACACCCATGTTGTTATTCACTTTGGGTATTGCTAGTCCTCTTTTAGGCATTCAATATATTTTAACTCCGCTGGGTCCAGTCTATTAGAATATTTAAACAAATGAGATATCCCTATAACATAACCCTGCTTTAAAAACCGTTTCAGGTGACTCCTAAGTTGCACCTGTCCATCTGATGCCTCAGGTGTGTCACATATAGCACAAGCTCACAACAGTGATACATGTCAAAGTGTCTATACAGTGAGACCTAGCACTGCATTAGCAGTATCGGTCACATATTTGTGATACCTGCATTCGATCAGTAAGTAAAGTTCGGTAAAGATATACAGAAACGCATGGTGAAAAGGTTACATTGTTGTTATACTTTGTGTTTCTTATATTAAACAGTCCTGTCTACAGTACGCAAACACTGAAAGTTAATTGGGTTATGGTAATTAATTGTGCCTATTTTACGTAAATACAGATCTGAGTATCTGAACGAAAAAATAGATTTACGGACAAAAAAAATAAATATATAACTGTATCCAAACCAATTAAGTTAATTACATCTTGGTATCTTAAATTGTTTCGTTATAACCTATTTTTCGCAATATTACATTTAAATAAGTGTAAAATCCTCCATCATTGTGTACCAACGAAAGTAAAGGAGCTGTGGCACCCGTTGACATATATAGCATGGTTCGTGTTGTTAAAATGATGTTATATAATCGAAAAATAAAGAGTAGATAATCGTCTTAAATGTACTCCTTACTTGAGAGTCCTAGCGCCGACACAATGTCCTCAGGGTAGATCCTATATCGGTCGCGGGAGGTCAATGTCTTGAAAATGCTGTCGACATTGGACGCGTTTAGTGATGTCTGTTGCTTAAACACTATCCAGACGAAAGCGGTGATCCGGTACGCAGGAATTTCAGGCTCGAGGTGGGAAGCTATAGTCTGGAACGAAGGCTATATAGGTTAAAGGACGCCATCAATCGATATCCAAGACCTGACGTAACACGTGACCTGAATACGTCAGTTTAAAATTCCTTTTCAGCACACGACAAAATGGGAATTCCCCGGTGACGTGGTTAGGTCTTTCTACACATAACTTCTTATTATTAGGAAACCCCAGTGACGCTCAAAATAGCACGATGATGTCATCTTCTTTTGATGATTCAGCAGCACTAAGAATGAACGATCGATGACTACCTTTAATACCAATTACGTGTTTGTTATTGATCATAGCTAAAACGCTTTAATGTTTGGAGTTGTTACAGAAGGTGAGTATTGTATTATGCCGCATGATATCAGTTATATGGAGTGGTTGGTGGCATGAACAAGAATGAACGCTATGGGGCACGGAGAGACATTTAAATGTGTGATATTGTGACTATGATAAAATAAACAGATTATTATTGAATAGTAAATTAAATCTTTTCTGATTTTTAAATGCTCAATAAAAAACAGGCGTCAATCAACTGTCATTATGGTCAGCAGCAATGTGATGACATACAGACATATAGTACCAATGTCTTAAACGTACCTGACAAAAGTACCAGTATGAAATCAATTGAACAAATACTGCAATACTACTTGTAAGAAACAAATTCGGACTTGACAGATAATATCTATAAATGATGGTTAACGAGGTAAACAATGCTGGTCCATTTGAAGTGTAACAGATAGATATAACATGCTTTATACAATAATTGCATCGCAGTGACATATGGAATTAGAACCGGTAAAAGATATATACTGCTTGTTGAAAACATGCACAGCAGTACTGAACACACGGAAGGAAATATTACTCTATGGTTATATATCTCTAAATAATATCTAACAGAACACTGTTTTCTCTAATGTGGCATTGTGTCAACCACTGATTTGTCTGGTCCAGACCCGATTACTTACAGGATGTTTGGTATAGCTAAAGTATTGCTGTGTAAAACCAGGAACTAATATGTGGACACATGTCTACCGCCCTCAGACGGGCCTCGACTACAAAGTTTGTTTGTTTGTTGTTTAACGCCGCAATATTCTAGCTATATGACAATCCAGTGATCTCCAACCCATGACCCCACAGACTGCATTATTTCGGGTATATTTTCTCACTTCTTGGATGAATCTCATGGCTCTGTTCCGTATCTCCCCCATACGCGTTATTTTGTACGTTCCCCGTTTACCAGCACCGTATTCTATCACCGACCACACCATAGAGTCATATGACTTTGTGAACGTATTGTTTTGCACATCCTCAAAGAAGCTTGTATTTCGATATGAGGAAGCCAACCACTATACTATAATCTAGCCATCCGATTAAAGGTGAGGTGAGGTGAGGTGAGGGTTTAACGTCGCGTCCAAGATTATTGCACTTATATAGCGACGTGCATTCACGTGTGTGTGTGTGTGTGTGTTTGGCTGCTTGTACTAGTCCGGACTGATGCCGATTTATAGTGCTAGCCCACTGAGATACCATGCCGCAGTTTAACATGAATACCCCACTCAGACACAGTATACTGACTCCGAGCCGACCTTGTTTTAGCCCCTTAATGCCCAGCGCCAGACAGGGTAACAACAAGTACCATCTTTTAACGTCCTTTCGGATCGAACCCCGGACTTTCCGCTCTCGAGGCGGACGCTCTACCTCTAGACCACGGAGGCGGTCCCATCCGATTATAATCCAAGTTATCTGTTAAACGTATGCCAAGATAGTCATAACAATCCACGACCTCCAGGTTTTGGTCACCACATTTAATGATATCGTCTGTTCTTAGTTTTTGTTTCTTAGTTGCTTAACACCACACTCAGCAATATTCCAGCTATATGACGGCGGTCTGTAAATAATCGATTCTGGACCAGACATTACCGTGAATGACATCATGAACATCGATCTACACAATTGGGATACGAGTGCATCAACCAAGTCAGCGAGCAAGCGAGTGTTAAGATCAAAGTACATCTTGATGTGTTCGGGAGTTTCAGTTGAGTATATATATATATATATAAGGTCACTCACGTCTCCACCCTCCAGCCTGCCGCCGGCGACGTTGACATACAATCCATGCATGTAGCTCGAGCCGGCGGCATAATACATAACAGTGTAGAGGGCGTTCTCCTCCGCTGGCCACGTCACTTCCGGCTGGTCGCGCAAGTCGAAAGGGGTGTAAAGGGAGTTGGCGAGGGGGTCGATGGAGAAAGTTTGTGGTCCTGTCAAAGGTACCTCCACTATTCTCCCACAGCCAGGGTATGTACCTGATGTTTAACAAAAATACGGATCTACAAAATGTAATTAGGACCGAGGGCGGTGGGTAAGCGTCGTGTTCACACGGCAAGATTGACAACAGCCTTTTTTCAGGAATCCCAACATCCAGGTCATGCCATGGCCCTCCGGATCTCAAGAATAAAACCCAATCCAACATTTATGGGGTGCGCTGGATCAACGACTGCGAGCACGTCAGCAACAACCGCATGACCCCCGACAGTTGGCACAAGCACTGCAAGCAGAGTGGGTGAACATTCCCCAGGCCATAATTCGGGATCTTATTGCTTCATTGGCACAACGATGCAAATCACTTTTGGACTCTAAAGGTGGTCATACAAGGTATTGAGAACAGATGACCTACACCTTGAAAATCTACTGTTCCATGTGTGCAATATGGAACCTGGGTCAGTGACAATGACGTAAGCCAATAGTGAACAATTGACTACCATCTGTTGATTATTTATATGATATATAACAAACACATCTAAAATAACTTTTGCGCTTCTTTTTTTACAGAGTATATTATGAAATAGCTAATAAGTGAGGTGAAATGGGGTTTAACGTCGCGTCCAAGATTAATGCACTTATATAGCGACGTGCATGCATGTGTGTGTGTGTGTGGCTGCTTGTACCAGATACCATGTCGTAGTTTAACATGAATACTCCACTCAGATACAGTATACTGACTCCGAGCCGACCAGTTCTTGTTTTAGCCCCTTAATGTCCAGCGCCAGACAGGGTAACAACAAGTACAATCTTTTAACGTCTTTTTGTATGACGCGGCCTGGGATCGAACCCCGGACCTTCCGCTCTCCGGGCGGACGCCCTACCACTGGACCATGGAGGGGGCGAAATAACTAATAGATAGTATAATAGCGTCTTGTATGTTCATGAATGTGGATATAGGAGTAGGGTAGGAAGGATGTACTCACGGTCAGATCCATCAGCTGGAAATAGAATAAATCTCATGTGGGAAGAATAGATTGTTAATTTAACACTATGTTTCGTGCAGGGTATTAACGTTAACTCTAAAAAGACGTATTTTCCGTATCAGCATACATACCAGAACACAGACTGTCTTACTCGGGGCATACGGGTTGTCCCTTGGGCACGCCAGAAACCTATGATTGTGGGTTCGAATCCCAGTTCGCCCCGATTATGTTTCTAGGTTTGTCAGCACCATACCCGTGCTCGTGGGTTTCACCGAAGTGGTAAACGTCTGAGACCTGCATCACTTCGGGCTTTCCTCCCACATCAAGCTGACGCGCCGTGATATAACTGGAATACTGTTAAAAGCGGCGTTAAACCCAACTCACTCACTCACTCACTGTCTTACTCTGCCTCACACGCGTCAGCTTTTATATGCTTAAAACCATCATGTTAGAGTTACCTCCCTTTATCTAAGGCCAAGAGTAGGATTCGTTGAGGCGTAAAGTTAACTGCTGTCCTACACCACGTGTATAAACAAATCATAATTCAACTTTACTGTTCTGCAAATATGTGATGAAATCTATAAAATTAAGCTGTTTTTTTGTTTTTGAATTGGTGAAATTAGTGGGAGTGGGTGAGTATGGTTTTACGCCGCTTTTAGCAATATTCCAGCAAAATGACGGCGGGGGACACCAGAAATGGAAATTAGAGTTAAAAACGTCGTCATAGTCAATAAAAGTGACGGTTTTGCTTACCTGGGAGAGTAATAGTGTACGTGACGTTGACGACGAAGGCGAGGCCGCTGGGGTCTGTTGTGTCGTTCCCAAATATTCGAGTGAGGAGGGAGGTTCTGGATGGTCTAGGATTTGTACACTGAACACCCCCTCTGTCCGGCGGGCAGACCGTCGTGAAGCCTGTCCCAAACCAGTAGGCCGAGGTGTTGGTGTAGAGGGACCTCAACGCCGCCACACAGGCTGCGTCATGTCGGACGCTGCATGCGGTCTGGGCGTTAACATCTGCATAGGTTTTGATTAAAACGAAGAATATTAGAGGTGAGGTGAGGTGAAATTGGGTTTAACGTCGCGTCCAAGATTATTGCACTTATATAGCGACGTGCTGATGCCGATTTATAGTGCTAGCACACTGAGATACCATGCCGCAGTTTAACTTGAATACCCCACTCAGACACAGTATACTGACTCCGAGCCGACCAGTCCTTGTTTTAGCCCCTTAATGCCGAGCGCCAGACAGGGTAACAACAAGTACCATCTTTTAACGTCTTTTGGTATGACGCGGCCGGGGATCGAACCGCTCTCCGGGCGGACGCTCTACCACTAGACCACGGAGGCGGTTTGAAGAATATCATAAGTGATATTATTACTACCGTTATCATTTAATGAATACTGCTTTGGATGCACCCGTTAGCCAAAATTATATATACAGGGTAATTATGCATGCATGTCTTGATTTAATTACATACGTAAGGGTTTTGTCTTTTGAATTGTCTCTCGTGAAGATTCTGAATCGGTGTCATTAATGACATGGCTTAATGTAATTTTTTAGTCCTTTTATTTTCTATCCTTATCAGCATTCTAAATTAAGGATGAAAACACTGGTCCATCATAACTCTGATGTTAATGACGTTCTTATTGGCCTGAACCTGTTCAAGGACTTGGTATTTGCAGTTTGTTATACCTGAATATTGGTAGGATCGCCATGCGTCGGGTTAGACTTTCCAAGATATATATGTCGTGCGTAATATAAGGAACCGATCCGCGGAATAAGTAATAATATTCACTGTGTTGATATAACTTATTTGTGTGGAGACCTCAGTAGTCGATGTGGCAATTTGTGGATAATCTGCCCCAAAGACACACTACACACACAAATTCGCATGGTCGATTATTTATTGATTTTTTTATTAATACAAATTGCTGCATTTTGAACGGGCGAAGAAATGTGTGTGATGATTTTACTTTCATATCAAGCAGATGGACGTCAGTTGTTTGTTGTTTATATGTTTTGAGTCTTTAGACTATTTCAGTGATTTTTAGGTGATTAGGAAGACGACCGAAGAGACCCACTCTCATACAGAGAACTTACTCTCACCTGTGCATCTTTCAAGAATATATTGTTGTATTTTTAATAACAGGTTATCCAGGTTAGAAGACGATGTTATTTTAGAAGATACAGTAATAAAATGGCTACAGGTATGGTCGGTAAACAATCGAGCATATCGCAACTATTAATACTATAGTAGAAACACGTAAATCTATCTAGAAATCCGAATCCACAGCATCCATAGACTTCAGGAATGCGTACGACTGTATTAACCGCCGTGAGATGCCGTGAGATGCGAGCCCCAACGGGAAATCTACTTCAAGGTTTGATGTGAAATACAGACAACAGGATGTTTGCTGTCACCGATTCTTTCCAACCTGTTCATAAATGATAATTTTCTGCCATAAACCATATGCCATTCAGAGTAGTCAACGAGGCAACAATTGGTATTAAACTACCCCGATGGTATAGGGTTACTTGCAGAATCGGAAACTGACCTGAACGTTTTATTAGATTTTCTTCAAACATGGCTGGGGCGGCCGGGTAGCCTAGTGGTTAAAGTGTTCGCTCGTCACGCCGAAGACCCGGGTTCGATTCCCGACATGGGTACAGTGTGTGAAGCCCATTTCTGGTGTCCCCCGTCGTGATATTGCTGGAATATTGCTAAAAGCGGCGTAAAACCATACTCACTCACTCACTCACCCGGCCACCCGCTCACTCACTCACTCACTCACTCACTCACTCACTCACTCCACTCACCCGGCCACCCGCTCACTCACTCACTCACTCACTCACTCACTCACTCACTCACTCCACTCACTCAATCACTCACTCACTCGCTCACTCGCTCACTCGCCCACCCGCTCACTCACTCACTCACTCACTCACTCATTCACTCACTCACTCACCCAAACTCACTCACTCACTCACTCACTCACCCGGCCACCCGCTCACTCACTCACTCACTCACTCACTCACTCACTCACTCACTCACTCACTCACTCACTCACTCACTCACTCACTCACTCACTCACTCACCCGGCCACCCGCTCACTCACTCACTCACTCACTCACCCGCTCACTCACTCACTCACTCACTCACTCACTCACCCGCTCACTCACTCACTCACTCACTCACTCACTCACTCATTCACTCACTCACTCACTCACCCAAACTCACTCACTCACTCACTCACTCACTCACTCACACATGGCGTCAATCCAACTCTATGTCTGTTAATGAATCCAAGTCAAAGGTGATCCATTTCAAGAGCGTCGATACCCAAGAAGATCCAGGTTAGAATGTGTCTTGAGGAACCCATGCTTTAACGACTCTGCTTGCACTAAGAGGCGACTAACGGGATCGGGTGGTTAGGCTTGGTTGATGCATGTTATGGTTTAAAAATATTTATTTTCACAAACGTGTGAAAATGGATTGGTAAACAAGCGAAGCGCTTGTGTTAATACCGCTCGATTACACATAGGACATATTACAATGAATACATAAAAAAGGTCAGATGTAAAAATGAATTTTACATGCCAAGCTAGATGTGTATATATAATAAGTTTATTTGCAGTTTTTATTAAACAATTAATGTCATTGAAAATCTGCCATTTTTTAATATAAAGTTTTGAATAGAATCTAATATTTGTATTGGCTCTTCCTTACTTAACTGTTTGTAAAGAATAACCATGTTGGTAAAAAAACATTTTATTTCGAAGAACATAGTAATTTGTACACTCAAAAAAGAAGTGTAAAACATATCCACAGGAACAAGTTTTTGTATCCAAAATATATCTATCATATTGATCTGCGTTAAGACCGCTGCAGCCAAGCCTGTGGCGACTGTGAATAATTTGACATATTCTGTTTCCATAATTTAAATCCCACTGTATACCATTATATCTCCCTTACGTGGTGCAAGTTCTTAAATTATGCAACGGTCTCTGTCCCCGTTAGGTTTTCTGGTAACATATTCCAAAATTGTATTGTAGCTAGTATAAATGAATCTGCATAAGCTTTTGTTTTACGCTTCACTTCAACACCACTGGTGCCAGAACCACCAACCATGCAGAAAGTTGCCAGCAGCGAGAACAAACCCACACTGAAATCCCCATCACACAGATGATAAGGGGGACGAATGCCTCCTCGAAGGAGGAAATACCGACAACCAGATGTCAACATCAAGACTCCAGTGGAGTATGCAGACTCGTTATGCAGCTGAACCCGTGAAGATTCCGGGGTAGAATAGGTCTTCAGCAACCCATGCTTGCCGTAAAAAGGCGACTATGCTTGGTTTATACATGTCATCGGTCCCAATTGCGTGGATCGATGCTCATGGTATTAATCACTGGATTGTCTGGTCCAGACTCGATTATTTACAGACCGCCGTCATATAGCTAGAATATTGCTGAGTGCGGCGTTAAACAACAAACCAACCAACCAACGTTATCCCACCTCATCGGACCTTATTAAACATTGTGTAAAGTGTATTATGTGCATAACTTCTCTGAGAGGCATTTAGAAGGTGGAGTATTAAGTAAGGATAAGGCTTATGGATGAACAACTTCTTTATTACAGTTAGGAGCTCCTAATAAAGAGGTTGTTCATCCATAAATCTGATCCTTACTTTTATTATATGCAGCCTAAAGTGTTTTAAATACTTTATCCAATAATACTTGTGTAAATTGTGCAATATGTAATCATTGTAACAAATATTGTGTCAGATTTATACTGCGACAAACCGAACATTTGTCATTTTGCAGTGACTGTCATTCATGTGTTCATCTTTCGGGCATCTACATGATCAGACACTACCAAAGCAGGGTTCACTCAAACGAAAAGTTTACCTAGACATGCCCGCTTTAAATAGACAGACTATTACCACCAGAAATGCAGTGAGCGGTAGCTCTAATCCCTTCTGCCAACACACAGGGCGGTAGTGAGAATATACGTTCGAAATATGTTGATGCATTGAGAGAGCAACGATTGAGCAACACTCATGGTGTAAAGGCCGAGCTTGGGCAGGTTGCTGCCCACTCTCGGGGATTACGTAATATGTTTACTTAAGATCTGAGTGCTTTGGCACAGTGTCAGTAAACTGCTTGTTCAAACTCGCGTCGTTCATTTATGCCAGGAAATATACAGAACCCTCCCTTCACTAGCTATAGAAGCACTACAAGTAGAAACGGGAGAACTCCCAATGAAACTAAGAAGAGAGCAGGCAATAGTATCGTTCTGGGAACGAACATCACACCCTTTGGTTAAAAAGATATGGCAAGACAAAAACACTCGAGGTGAAGCCCTAGCTCGAAGAAATCCCTCACTAAAGCCATCTGGGATATTAGTACGTGAACTCATTCTAAGTCACATTTGTGATGACATTCAGCCTCCAGAAAGTTACTACAAAGGGTTACACCCTCCCTGGACTTTAAAAACTCCCAAAGTTGACACTGCTTTAACATCAGAAGTAACTAAAAAAGAAAACCCAAACCTACTACGATCAGTAGCTATCACTAAAATTCGAACTACCTGGGACAGCTGGGCCCAATATACACTAATGGATCCAAGAATCCTATCAACAACAGTGCTGGTTACGGGATCCATATCCACAGCTCCAAACCCCAAGCACATTCAGTTCGCTTGCCTGATGGTCAGTCAGTATTCACGGCTGAATTGGAGGCAATTCATCATGCACTCAAACTCATACCGGAACTTCCGGAAGCAAAGGCAGTCGTCCTATCAGACTCGCTAAGCACTTTAAGCCTTCAGTTGCAGAAACTCAAACTCCAGGCCAGTCACAGTCAACAATATTCTATACGAATATACAAAACTATCGGACCAAGGGTAACAGGTGGAGCTGTGTTGGATCCCCTCTCACATAGATATTCATGGAAATGAAAAAGCAGACTCACTAGAGATAAAAAGAAAAATCAAAGCCTCCATAGCAGAAAG